GGGCACGGGCCGTGCCGGACTGGACACACTCACCACTGGTCTGGTGTGAGGAGCAGGCACGGGCCGAACCAGACTAGGAACATGCACCACTGGCTTGGTGCGAGGAGCAGGAACAGGCCGGGCCGGACTGGCGACACGCACCACTGTCTTGGTGCGAGGAGCGGGAACAGGCCGGCCGGACTGGCGACGCGCACCACTGGCTTGGTGCAAGGAGCGGGAACAGGCCGGGCCGGGCTGGCGACGCGCACCACTGGCTTCGTGCGAGGAGCAGGAACAGGCCGGGCCGGGCTGGGAACACGCACCACTGGTTTGGTGCGAGGAGCAGGAACAGGCCGGGCCAGCTGGCGACGCGCACCACTGGCTTGGTGCGAGGAGCAGGAACAGGCCAGGCCGGGCTGGGCTGGCGACTCGCACCACAGGCTTGGTGCGAGGAGCAGGAACAGGCCGGGCCGGGCTGGCGACGCGCACCACTGGCTTGGTGCGAGGAGCAGGAACAGGCCGGGCCGGGCTGGCGACGCGCACCACTGGCTTGGTGCGAGGAGCAGGAACAGGCCGGGCCGGGCTGGCGACGCGCACCACTGGCTTGGTGCGAGGAGCAGGAACAGGCTGGACCGGGCTGGCGACGCACACCACTGGCTTGGTGCGAGGAGCAGGAACGGGCCGTACCGGACTGTGGAGGCGGACTGGAGGTCTGAAGCGGAGCGCTGGCACAACCGGTCCTGGCTGGATACCTACTTCCGCACAGTATGTGTGAGGCATTAGCACAGGATGCACAGGGCTGTGCACGCGCACTGGCGATACAGTACGTAGAACTGGCGCAGGATATGCAGGACCGAGGAGGCGTACTGGAGACCAGAAGCGTTGAGCCGGCACACCCCATCCTGGCTGGATGCCCATCTTCGCACGGCACGTGCATGGTGCTAGCACAGGACGTACAGGACTGTGCCGGCACACTGGCGACACAGTACGTAGCTCCGCATAACACGGAGCCTGCCCAGTCACACGCTTCCTCGCATGAGTACGGGGAGTTGGCTCTGCTCTAACACTAGGCTCCACCAACCACCCTTTTAGCCCCCCCAAAAAAAATATTTGGGCTGTCTCTAGGGCTTCTTCCTCGACCGGCGTCCTCTGTGTTGCCGTTGCTCCTCTCCTGCCTGGGCCTCTACCTTCGCCCATGGCCCTTTCCCCGCAAATATCTCCTCCCATGACCACCAATTGCCCACCTGTGACATGGCTACTGTCTCCGCCTGGGCACGCTGCTTGGTCCGTGTTTGGTGGGATCTTCTGTCGTATAAGGTATGTTGTTTGTGTCTACCTTGGACTTCACGTTTCGTTTTGTTTATTGTTTTGTCGAGTGTTTATTACGTTTAAATAAACATGTATGCATATCACGCTGCGCCTTGGTCCGTCCCGTCCGTCAACGAGCGTGACACTCTCTCTCTCTCTCTCTCTTTCTCTCTCCCTCATATACAGTGGGGAAAAAAAGTATTTAGTCAGCCACCAATTGTGCAAGTTCTCCCACTTAAAAAGATGAGAGAGGCCTGTAATTTTCATCATAGGTACACGTCAACTATGACAGACAAATTTAGGAAAAAAAATCCAGAAAATCACATTGTAGGATTTTGAATGAATTTATTTGCAAATTATGGTGGAAAATAAGTATTTGGTCACCTACAAACAAGCAAGATTTCTGGCTCTCACAGACCTGTAACTTCTTCTTTAAGAGGCTCCTCTGTCCTCCACCCGTTACCTGTATTAATGGCACCTGTGTGAACTTGTTATCAGTATAAAATACACCTGTCCACAACCTCAAACAGTCACACTCCAAACTCCACTATGGCCAAGACCAAAGAGCTGTCAAAGGACACCAGAAACAAAATTGTAGACCTGCACCAGGCTGGGAAGACTGAATCTGCAATAGGTAAGTAGCTTGGTTTGAAGAAATCAACTGTGGGAGCAATTCTTAGGAAATGGAAGACATACAAGACCACTGATAATCTCCCTCGATCTGGGGCTCCACGCAAGATCTCACCCCGTGGGGTCAAAATGATCACAAGAACGGTGAGCAAAAATCCCAGAACCACACGGGGGGACCTAGTGAATGACCTGCAGAGAGCTGGGACCAAAGTAACAAAGCCTACCATCAGTAACACACTACGCCGCCAGACGTAGTGCCAGACGTGTCCCCCTGCTTAAGCCAGTACATGTCCAGGCCCATCTGAAGTTTGCTAGAGTGCATTTGGATGATGCAGAAGAGGATTGGGAGAATGTCATATGGTCAGATGAAACCAAAATAGAACTTTTTGGTAAAAACTCAACTCGTCGTGTTTGGAGGACAGAGAATGCTGAGTTGCATCCAAAGACCACCATACCTACTGTGAAGCATGGGGGTGGAAACATCATGCTTTGGGGCTGTTTTTCTGCAAAGGGACCAGGACGACTGATCCGTGTAAAGGAAAGAATGAATGGGGCCATATATCGTGAGATTTTGAGTGAAAACCTCCTTCCATCAGCAAGGGCATTGAAGATGAAACGTGGCTGGGTCTTTCAGCATGACAATGATCCCAAACACACCGCCCGGGCAACGAAGGAGTGGCTTCGTAAGAAGCATTTCAAGGTCCTGGAGTGGCCTAGCCAGTCTCCAGATCTCAACCCCATAGAAAATCTTTGGAGGGAGTTGAAAGTCTGTGTTGCCCAGCGACACTGCTCTAGAGGAGATCTGCATGGAGGAATGGGCCAAAATACCAGCAACAGTGTGTGAAAACCTTGTGAAGACTTACAGAAAACGTTTGACCTGTGTCATTGCCAACAAAGGGTATATAACAAAGTATTGAGAAACTTTTGTTATTGACCAAATACTTATTTTCCACCATCATTTGCAAATAAATTCATTAAAAATCCTACAATGTGATTTTCTGGCATTTTTTTTCTAATTTTGTCTGTCATATTCGACGTGTACCTATGATGAAAATTACAGGCCTCTCTCATCTTTTTAAGTGGGAGAACTTGCACAATTGGTGGCTGACTAAATACTTTTTTCCCCCACTGTATATATTGATTGGCTATAGATTCCTCACACCTGGTAGTCCAAGTAATCAGTTTGCCATTGAAAGGCAACAAATGGTGTATACTGTTAGCTCTGGAGGACCGAAGCTATACACCTCCACCCTACACCATATATCTCATTGATAGCTATACATATTAGATAGATTATTGAGAGGAACCAGACCAGCTGCCTGCTATTACTGTCACATTGTGAATCCAGACACAAAGACAACCTACCGTTATTGTGCTTCAGAAACTAACCAGAAATCAAATACTCAGCATGACTGTTAATAAGGATCCTTTGGAGAAAGCAACATAGACCGATATACAGTCGTTGTCAAAAGTTTTTAGAATGACACAAATACTAATTTTCACAAAGTCTGCTGCCTCAGTTTTGATGATGGCAATTTGCATATACTCCAGAATGTCATGAAGAGTGATCAGATGAATTGCAATTAATTGCAAAGTCCCTCTTTGCCATGAAAATGAACTTAATCCCCCAAAAACATTGCATTTCAGCCCTGCCACAAAAGGACCAGCTGCCATCATGTCAGTGATTCTCTCGTTAACACAGGTGAGAGTGTTGACGAGGACAAGGCTGGAGATCACTCTGTCATGCTGATTGAGTTAGAATAACAGAATGGAAGCTTTAAAAGGAGGGTGGTGCTTGAAATCATTGTTCTTCCTCTGTTAACCATGGTTACCTGCAAGGAAACACGTGCCGTCATCATTGCTTTGCACAAAAAGGGCTTCACAGGCAAGGATATTGCTGCTAGTATGATTGCACCTAAATCAACCATTTATCGGATCATCAAGAACTTCAAGGAGAGAGGTTCAATTGTTGTGAAGAAGGTGTCAGGGCGCCCAAGAAAGTTCAGCAAGCGCCAGGACCGTCTCCTAAAGTTGATTCAGCTGCGGGATCGGGGCACCACCAGTGCAGAGCTTACTCAGGAATGGCAGCAGGCAGGTGTGAGTGCATCTGTACGCACAGTGAAGTGAAGACTTTTGGAGGATGGCCTGGTGTCAAGAAGGGCAGCGAGGAAGGCACTGCTCTCCAGGAAAAACATCAGGGACAGACTGATATTCTGCAAAAGGTACAGGGATTGGACTGCTGAGGACTGGGGTAAAGTCATTTTCTCTGATGAATCCCCTTTCCGGGGCATCCGGAAAACACCTTGTCCGGAGAAGACAAGGTGAGCGCTACCATCAGTCCTGTGTCATGCCAACAGTAAAGCATCCTGAGACCATTCATGTGTGGAGTTACTTCTCAGCCAAGGGAGTGGGCTCACTCATAATTTGGCCTAAGAACACAGCCATGAATAAAGAATGGTACCAACACATCCTCCGAGAGCAACTTCTCCTAACCATCCAAGAACAGTTTGGTGACGACCAGTGCCTTTTCCAGCATGATGGAGCACCTTGCCATAAGCCAAAAGTGATAACTAAGTGGCCCGGGGAACATAACATTGACATTTTGGGTCCATGGCCAGGAAACTCCCCAGACCTTAATCCCATTGAGAACTTGTGGTCGATCCTCAAGAGGCGGGTGGACAAACAAAACCCCACAAATTCTGACGAACTCCAAGCATTGATTATGCAAGAATGGGCTGCCATCAGTCAGGATGTGGCCCAGAAGTTAATTGACAGCATGCCAGGGCGGATTGCAGAGGTCTTGAAAAAGAAGGGTCAACACTGCAAATATTGACTCTTTGCATAAACGTAATGTAATTGTCAATAAAAGCCTTTGACACTTATGGAATGCTTGTAATTATACTTCAGTATACCATAGTAACATCTGACAAAAATATCTCATAACACTGAAGCAGTGAACTTTGTGAAGACCAAAACTTGTGTCATTCTCAAAACTTTTGACCACGACTATACACTGATTTTGATCTTGTCCTTTGTTCCTCTGTTGTTGTAATGCATCCCTCCTCTGTCTTATGTAACCCAGGGCGACTGACTCTGGCCTGCTCACCCATAAGGAGAATCTGCCAGTCAGATGGGTGGTGGTTGGGGATATACAGAGACCTGGATCAGAGGCAGCCTATAGAGTTGGCCCACTCAGGTGTCATGGTGACAGTAAGTATCAAATGATGACATAATAAAGATAGTCTCACACTATATTTACATTCTTAGAAAAAATTGTGCTATCTAGAACCTAAAAAGGTTATTCAGCTGTCCCCATAGGAGTACCTTTGAAGAACCATTTTTGGTTCCATGTAGATCCCTTTCCACGGAGGCTTCTTTATGGAACCCAAAACGGTTCTACCTGGAACCAATGTGTACAGCCAAGGAACTCTTTGGAACCCTTTTTTCTAAGAGTGTATATTCCCAATTCTTTATTGGGTATCACCAAAGTTTCGGCACACAGTGCCTTCCTCTGGGTTAGATAGTAAGTATCAAGTCAAGCAGTCATTCTACTGTATCAGTCCATTATCTAATCCATTACTGACCCTCCTCCGATAAACTGACTGGGTTTTACTGAATACTGTATGCTCGCTTTTGATATATCAGTCAATCTATCACTCCATTATTTCTATATGGATATGGAGTATTTACAATACACACAGGCTGTGATTAAAACAAATGCAGATAAATGACTTGCACACTGTGATAGACTTTACAATCTACTTTACTCTGAGTCCTCAGCACAGTCATTTTGTTTCCTGTTTGATGCTAATGCAACATTCTCTTCCTCTCCGTCAATCATCATGTTAATCACTCTGATTATGCACATAACCTAATTATGTGTACCACATTAGCAGAATTGTTACAAAAACAAGAATGTTCTCTCTTTTATGCTCTTATGCTGATGGCGGAAGGTAGTTGTTGTTAATCAGGCAATAATGATTTAAGAGTCCCAATCTCTTTGTTATTCCTAATTGCAGCCTTGGTTACCTGAAATATTTATCTTAGTAAATTATACATAAACGGGGGAAACAGTGGTGGAATATAATTAAGATTAATTAGAAAAATTGTTGGCCTGTTCATGACAGTCTCATCAACAGATCATTATTATTGTTTACATATTTAGCAGACGCTCTTATCCAGAGAAATTAGGGTTAAGTGCCTTGCTCAAGGGCACATCGACAGATTGTTCACCTAGTCGGCTCAGGGATTAGAACCAGCGACCTTTCAATTACTGGCACAACGCTCTTACCCACTAAGCTACCTGCCGCCCCTTGAACTGAGAGCAAAACAAGTTGCGGACATGTACTCTCCAAACTACAGCTTATTTTATTCTCAGTCTATTTAGACCTTAGTTTCCAATAAGCACCCTTTTTCTCAATCAGCACCATGTATAGTTTTTCAGAAGCAAAGCAGAACTCCCTGTTATCTATTTTCTATGTTATCATTGTTATGTGTTGTGGAAGTCTCACCTATGTGATTTGTGGTTGTCTTCCTTACCGTAGCTGAATCCACTGACTATAAGTCGTTCTGGATAAGAGTATGCTAAATGACCAAAATGTATGTAAATGTATTGATTTAAATCCTTTTCTCAGAGAACTTCTGGAACGCAGCGTTCTTCAACAAAGAAACGTCGTACCTGCACTTCCCCACGTTCCACGGAGAGCTGAGTGCAGACATCTCCTTTCTGTTCAAAACCACTGCCGCTTCAGGAGTCTTCCTGGAAAACCTGGGCATCAAAGACTTCATACGGGTGGAACTCAGCTGTAAGTAGAGTGGATAAATTCAGCTGTAAGTAGAGTGGATAAAGTCAGCTGTAAGTAGAGTGAATAAAGTCAGCTGTAAGTAGAGTGGATAAAGTCAGCTGTAAGTAGAGTGGATAAAGTCAGCTGTAAGTAGAGTGGATGAACTCAGCTGTAAGTAGAGTGGATGAACTCAGCTGTAAGTAGAGTGGATAAAGTCAGCTGTAAGTAGAGTGGATAAAGTCAGCTGTAAGTAGAGTGGATAAAGTCAGCTGTAAGTAGAGTGGATAAAGTCAGCTGTAAGTAGAGTGGATAAAGTCAGCTGTAAGTAGAGTGGATGAACTCAGCTGTAAGTAGAGTGGATGAACTCAGCTGTAAGTAGAGTGGATAAAGTCAGCTGTAAGTAGAGTGGATAAAGTCAGCTGTAAGTAGAGTGGATAAAGTCAGCTGTAAGTAGAGTGGATAAAGTCAGCTGTAAGTAGAGTGGATAAAGTCAGCTGTAAGTAGAGTGGATAAAGTCAGCTGTAAGTAGAGTGGATAAAGTCAGCTGTAAGTAGAATGGATGAACTCAGCTGTAAGTAGAGTGGATGAACTCAGCTGTAAGTAGAGTGGATAAAGTCAGCTGTAAGTAGAATGGATGAACTCAGCTGTAAGTAGAGTGGATGAACTCAGCTGTAAGTAGAGTGGATAAAGTCAGCTGTAAGTAGAGTGGATGAACTCAGCTGTAAGTAGAGTGGATGAAGTCAGCTGTAAGTAGAGTGGATAAAGTCAGCTGTAAGTAGGGTGGATAAAGTCAGCTGTAAGTAGAGTGGATGAACTCAGCTGTAAGTAGAGTGGATAAAGTCAGCTGTAAGTAGAGTGGATGAACTCAGCTGTAAGTAGAGTGGATAAAGTCAGCTGTAAGTAGAGTGGATAAAGTCAGCTGTAAGTAGAGTGGATAAAGTCAGCTGTAAGTAGAGTGGATAAAGTCAGCTGTAAGTAGAGTGGATGAACTCAGCTGTAATAGAGTGGAATGAATGAAATGAATGAATGACATTTTATTTTCGTGTCAAATCGGCAGTTGGCAACCCATCCCTTATGGGATTAATTGGCACATAAACAGACATTACAATAATTCACTGTGATAATTCTGTGATAATTCTTCTTCCGGTGTTCTCTGCAGTGCGCATCGCATAAAAAGTGAAACAATTAAAGATGGAAAACAATACATGATAGTAAATAAGGTTATCCAAACAATAATTATATCCCTAGCGCAGTAACAAAATATGCATACATACAGTTGAAGTCAGAAGTTTACATACACCTTAGCCAAATACATTTAGACTCAGATTTTCACAATTCCTGACATTTAATCCTAGTAAAGATTCCCTCTTTTAGGTCAGTTAGGATCACCACTTTATTTTAAGAATGTGAAATATCAGAATAATAGTAGAGAGAATTATTTATTTTAGCTTTTATGTCTTTCATCGCATTCCCAGTGGGTCAGAAGTTTACATACACTCAATTAGTATTTGGTAGCATTGCCTTTAAATTGTTTAACTTGGGTCAAACGTTTCGGGTAGCCTTCCACAAGCTTCCCACAATAAGTTGGCTGAATTTTGGCCCATTCCTCCTGACAGAGCTGGTGTAACTGAGTCAGGTTTTTAGGCCTCCTTGCTCACACACGCTTTTTCAGTTCTGCCCACAAATGTTCTATAGGATTGAGGTCGGGGCTTTGTGATGGCCACTCCAATACCTTGACTTTGTTGTCCTTAAGCCATTTTTCCACAGCTTTGGAAGTATGCTTGGAGTCATTGTCCATTTGGAAGACCCATTTGCGACCAAGCTTCAACTTCCTGACTGATGTCTTGAGATGTTGCTTCAATGTATCCACACAATTTTCCTTCCTCATGATGCCATCTATTTTGTGAAATGCACCAGTCCCTCCTGCAGCAAAGCACCCCTACAGCATGATGCTGCCACCCCCGTGCTTCACGGTTGGGATGGTGTTCTTTGGCTTGCAAGCCGTCCCCTTTTTCCTCCAAATATAACAATGGTCATTATGGGCAAACAGTTATATTTTTTTCATCAGACCAGAGGACATTTCTCCAAAAAGTACGATCTTTGTCCCCATGTGCAGTTGCAAACCGTAGTCTGGCTTTTTTATGGCGGTTTTGGAACAGTGGCTCTTCCTTACTGAGCGGCCTTTCAGGTTATGTCGATATAGGACTCGTTTTACTGTAGATATAGATACTTTTGTACCTGTTTCCTCCAGCATCTTCACAAGGTCCTTTGCTGTTGTTCTGGGATTGATTTGCACTTTTCACACCAAAGTACGTTCATCTCTAGGAGACAGAACGTGTCTCCTTCCTGAGCGGTATGACGGCTGCGTGGTCCCATGGTGTTTATACTTGCATACTATTGTTTGTACAGATGAATGTGGTACCTTCAGGTGTTTGGAAATTGCTCCCAAGGACGAACCAGACTTGTGGAGGTCTACAATATTTTTTCTGAGGTCTTGGTTGATTTCTTTGGATTTTCCCATGATGTCAAGCAAAGAGGCACTGAGTTTGAAGGTAGGCCTTGAAATACATCCACAGGTACACCTCCAATTGACTCAAATTATGTCAATTAGCCTATCAGAAGCTTCTAAAGCCATGACATAATTTTCTGGAATTTTCCAAGCTTTTTAAAGGCACAGTCAACTTAGTGTATGTAAAATTCTGACCCACTGGAATTGTGATACAGTGAATTATGAGTGAAATAATCTGTCTGTAAACAGTTGTTGGAAAAATTACTTTTGTCATGCACAAAGTAGATGTCCTAACCGACTTGCTAAAACTATAGTTTGTTAACAAGAAATTTGTAGAGTGGTTCAAAAACTAGTTTTAATGACTCCAACCTAAGTGTATGTAAACTTCCGACTTCAACTGTACATACATACATACATACATACATACATACATACATACATACATACATACATACATACATACATACATACATACATACATACATACATAACATGAAAATGAAACAGAAGGCATTTGAACCTAGTCTGGCAGAAAGAGAAGATTAATGTGGGAGACAAGCCTATACACAATCTATATACACACGTGCCATTTACCACATAGAAGCTAAATATGTTTAGAATTGAATTTTAGGTAGTGCATTTTCATTTATTCCAGGCTTTGTCTAAATATTCCGCAAACGGAAATACACAATGGGAAAAAAACAATTCAGTTTCTCCTCATCGCTCAGCCACATAATGCCAGGGTATATCTGGTGTGCTTTCTGGAATAAGAGCAAGCGTAAATCGTGGTAGAAAGGGAAATAGAGGATAAAATGAGTTTCATTCTCTATTTCTTTGAGGTCACAATAGTTACATAGTCTTTCCTCTTCCATTTCACCACAATACCGACCTGTTTCAATACGCAGAGGCAATATCCCTGATCTTACCTGTGCACATAGCGATCTCTTGCTTTTAGGTAGGTTATACATAATATATCTCTCACACACGAATTCACCCTTAATCAAACAAAAGGTTCTCAATTTGGGTTTATGATTAATCTCCTCCACCCATTTTTTTTCCATATTGCATCAACAGTTGTTTTTTTAATAATATCTATGTCTCCCTTAATTTGGTTTTCATACATATGTTCACAGTCAGGCTGTTGAAAAATGTCTGACATTTCAGTTGCCCAGGCTCCCCTTATGGATAGATCCCATTGTAAAACTTTACTAGCTATTCTGGTAGTTGGCATATCCAACAGTCTAATCCAAAGTCTCACCATACACGCCTTCCATCTCACCTCACATGGTTCCCAGGCCATGTCCACAGTTATTGCAAGTATTGGTGCAAACTTGTGGACACCTAAAAAGTAACGTACTGCTCTGTTATGGACATGTTTGTTTTTGAGATACCTCTTAGCACCCCTCACTCCTGCTCAATAGTCCAGAACAGGACACACGCATGTCCTCAAAATTGTCAAAGACTCCAGCCACCCTAGTCATAGACTGTTCTCTCTGCTACCGCACGGCAAGCGGTACCGGAGTGCCAAGTCTAGGTCCAAAAGACTACTCAACAGCTTCTACCCCCAAGCCATAAGACTCCTGAACAGCTAATCATGGCTACCCGGACTATTTGCACTGCCCCCCCACCCCATCCTTTTTACGCTGCTGCTACTCTGTTAATTATTTATGCATAGTCACTTTAACTCTACCCACATGTACATATTACCTCAACTACCTCAACTAGCCGGTGCCCCCGCACATTGACTCTGCAACGGTACCCCCCTGTATATATAGCCTCCCTACTGTTATTTTATTTTACTTCTGCTCTTTTTTTTCTCAACACTTTTTTTGTTGTTGTTTTATTTTTAAAATTTTGTAATGTCTGCACATTTTTTACATTTACATTTTAGTCATTTAGCAGACGCTCTTATCCAGAGCGACTTACAGGAGCAATTAGGGTTAAGTGCCTTGCTCAAGGGCACATTTACGTCATTTAGCAGACGCTCTTATCCAGAGCGACTAACAAATTGGTGCATTCACCCTATAGCCAGTGGGAAAACCACTTTACACTTTTTCTTTTTTTTTTTTTTTTTTTTTTTTTTTGGGGGGGGGGGGGGGTAGAAGGATTACTTTATCCTATCCCAGGTATTCCTTAAAGAGGTGGGGTTTCAAATGTCTCCGGAAGGTGGTGAGTGACTCCGCTGTCCTGGCGTCGTGAGGGAGCTTGTTCCACCATTGGGGTGCCAGAGCAGCGAACAGTTTTGACTGGGCTGAGCGGGAACTATGCTTCCGCAGAGGAAGGGGAGCCAGCAGGCCAGAGGTGGATGAACGCAATGCCCTCGTTTGGGTGTAGGGACTGATCAGAGCCCGAAGGTACGGAGGTGCCGTTCCCCTCACTGCTCCATAGGCAAGCACCATGGTCTTGTAACGGATGCGAGCTTCAACTGGAAGCCAGTGGAGTGTGCGGAGGAGGGGGGTGACGTGAGAGAACTTGGGAAGGTTGAACACCAGACGGGCTGCGGCATTCTGGATGAGTTGTAGGGGTTTAATGGCACAGGCAGGGAGGCCAGCCAACAGCGAGTTGCAGTAATCCAGACGGGAGATGACAAGTGCCTGGATTAGGACCTGTGCCGCTTCCTGTGTAAGGCAGGGTCGTACTCTCCGAATGTTGTAGAGCATGAACCTGCAGGATCGGGTCACCGCCTTGATGTTAGCGGAGAACGACAGGGTGTTGTGCATGGTCACGCCAAGGCTCTTCGCACTCTGGGAGGAGGACACAACGGAGTTGTCAACCGTGATGGCGAGATCATGGAACGGGCAGTCCTTCCCCGGGAGGAAGAGCAGCTCCGTCTTGCCAGGGTTCAGCTTGAGGTGGTGATCCGTCATCCATACTGATATGTCTGCCAGACATGCAGAGATGCGATTCGCCACCTGGTTATCAGAAGGGGGAAAGGAGAAGATTAGTTGTGTATCGTCAGCGTAGCAATGATAGGAGAGGCCATGTGAGGATATGACAGAGCCAAGTGACTTGGTGTATAGGGAGAATAGGAGAGGGCCTAGAACTGAGCCCTGGGGGACACCAGTGGTGAGAGCACGTGGTGCGGAGACAGCTTCTCGCCACGCCACTTGGTAGGAGCGACCGGTCAGGTAGGACGCAATCCAGGAGTGAGCCGCGCTGGAGATGCCCAGCTCGGAGAGGGTGGAGAGGAGGATCTGATGGTTCACAGTATCAAAGGCAGCAGACAGGTCTAGAAGGACAAGAGCAGAGGAGAGAGAGTTAGCTTTAGCAGTGCGGAGAGCCTCCGTGACACAGAGAAGAGCAGTCTCAGTTGAATGACCAGTCCTGAAACCTGACTGGTTTGGATCAAGAAGGTCATTCTGAGAGAGATAGCAAGAGAGTTGGCTAAAGACGGCACGCTCAATAGTTTTGGAAAGAAAAGAAAGAAGGGATACTGGTCTGTAGTTGTTGACATCAGTGGGATCGAGTGTTGGTTTTTTGAGAAGGGGTGCAACTCTCGCTCTCTTGAAGACGGAAGGGACATGGCCAGCGGTCAAGGATGAGTTGATCAGCGAGGTGAGGTAGGGGAGAAGGTCACCGGAGATGGTCTGGAGAAGAGAGGAGGGGATGGTGTCAAGCGGGCAGGTTGTTGGGCGGCCTGCAGTCACAAGTCGCAGGATTTTATCTGGAGAGAGAGGGGAGAAAGAAGTCAAAGCATAGGGTAGGGCAGTGTGAGTAGGACCAGCAGTGTCATTAGACTTAACAAACGAGGATCGGATGTCGTCAACCTTCTTTTCAAAGTGGTTGACGAAGTCATCCACAGAGAGGGGGGGGGGGGGGATTCAGCAGGGAGGAAAATGTGGCAAAGAGCTTCCTAGGGTTAGAGGCAGATGCTTGGAATTTAGAGTGGTAGAAAGTGGCCTTAGCAGCAAAAACAGATGAAGAAAATGTAGAGAGGAGGGAGTGAAAAGATGCCAGGTCGGCAGGGAGTTTAGTTTTCTTCCATTTCCGCTCCGCTGCCCGGAGCTCTGTTCTGTGAGCTCGCAATGAGTCATCAAGCCACGGAGCTGGAGGGGAGGACCGAGCCGGCCGGGAGGATAGGGGACACAGAGAGTCAAATGATGCAGAAAGGGAGGAGAGGAGGGTTGAGGAGGCAGAATCAGGAGATTGGAGGGAGAAGGATTGAGCAGAGGGAAGAGATGATAGGATGGAAGAGGAGAGAGTAGTGGGAGAGAGAGAGCGAAGGTTGCGGCGGCGCATTACCATCTGTGTAGGGGCAGAGTGAGTAGTGTTGGAGGAGAGCGAGAGAGAAAAGGAAACAAAGTAGTGGTCGGAGACATGGAGGGGAGTTGCAGTGAGATTAGTAGAAGAGCAGCATCTAGTAAAGATGAGGTCAAGCGTATTGCCTGCCTTGTGAGTAGGGGGGGACGGTGAGAGGGTGAGGTCAAAAGAGGAGAGGAGTGGAAAGAAGGAGGCAGAGAGAAATGAGTCAAATGTGGACGTAGGGAGGTTGAAATCCCCCAAAACTGTGAGGGGTGAGCCATCCTCAGGAAAGGAACTTATCAAGGCGTCAAGCTCATTGATGAACTCTCCAAGGGAACCTGGAGGGCGATAGATGACAAGGATATTAAGCTTAAATGGGCTAGTGACTGTGACAGCATGGAATTCAAATGAGGAGATAGACAGATGGGTTAGGGGAAAAATGGAGAATGTCCACTTGGGAGTGATGAGGATTCCTGTGCCACCACCCCTCTGACCAGATGCTCTCGGGGTATGCGAGAACACATGGTCAGACGAGGAGAGAGCAGTAGGAGTAGCAGTGTTTTCAGTGGTAATCCATGTTTCCGTCAGCGCCAGGAAGTCAAGGGACTGGAGGTTAGCATAGGCTGGGATGAAGTCAGCTTTGTTGGCAGCAGAACGGCAGTTCCAGAGGCTGCCTGAGACCTGGAACTCCAGGTGTGGGGTGCGTGCAGGGACCACCAGGTTAGAGAGGCAGCAGCCACGCGGTGTGAGGCGTTTGTGTAGCCTGTGCAGAGAGGAGAGAACAGGGATAGGCAGAGGCATAGTTGACAGGCTGTAGCAAATGGCTACAATAATGCAGAGGAGATCGGAATGAAATGAACTAAACATCTGGGAGAGGAGAGAGCAGGGCCTCCTTCACCAAAACTTCCACCTCAGAAACTATAATTGTTTCACTGAACCACCCGAACAAAAACTCTCCCAACTTCCACCTTTAGAAATCAGAATTGTTGTGAACCACAGCGGTTCAATGTTTCAAGGAATAGACTCAACCCACTTTATTCAGCTAGCTAACTATGACACCATAGCTAACTAGCATGCTAGCATCCAATAACACACAGTTTAGCACCAACACTTGGTCACAACAAACCACCAATAGTGTGTTAACACACTAAACAGATAATTCGTGTCCGTGTCTAGTTCCTTTCATAACGCAGCAATAATTAAACGTTGGCTAGCTAGCACAAATAAATTGTATTTAGCTGCCACAGTACAGCACACAATGGCTACTGTGTTGACTCAGTTCGAAAAACGGCTAGCTAGCTAGCTTCATGCTACACCGGGCACCGCCGAAAACAATGCTAACCTACAATAACTACCCACAACAGCCCACGATGCCTAACTATGACACCATAGCTAACTAGCATGCTAGCATCCAATAACACACAGTTTAGCACCAATACTTGGTTACAACAAACTACCAATAGTGTGTTAACACACTAAACAGATAATTCGTGTCCGTGTCTAGTTCCTTTCATAACGCAGCAATAATTAAACGTTGGCTAGCTAGCACAAGTATATTGTATTTAGCTACTACAGTACAGTTAGCTGGTCGTGTTGGCTAGCTAGCAATGGCTACTGTGTTGACTTTGTTTGGAAAACGGCTAGCTAGCTAGCTTCGTGCTACACCCGGCACCGCCGAAAACAATGCTAACCTACAATAACTACCCACAACAGCCCACGATGCCTAACTATGACGCCATAGCTAACTAGCATGCTAGCATCCAATAACACACAGTTTAGCACCAATACTTGGTTACAACAAACTACCAATAGTGTGTTAACACACTAAACAGATAATTCGTGTCCGTGTCTAGTTCCTTTCATAACGCAGCAAAAATTAAACGTTGGCTAGCTAGCACAAATATATTGTATTTAGCTACTGCAGTACAGTTAGCTGGTCGTGTTGGCTAGCTAGCAATGGCTACTGTGTTGACTTTGTTTGAAAAAACGGCTAGCTAGCTAGCTTTGTGCTGCGGGCCTATCTACAATACCTAACTACAATCTAAATACATAATTAAGCCTTACTCGACAAAGCCCAAGCTATGTATAACGCCAAACTTACCCGACGCCAGCTAACATTTGTCTTCTGCAATCAGTAGGTGTAATTAAGTACAGTAGCTACTAACTACCTAACGTTGATGGCTCAGATAATGAGGTTAGAAAAACGGCTGAATGGTAGGTAGCTAGCTGGCTTAATTACAGGTACTCTTAAGCGTGAAATAACATTGGAAACAACTCTCCACCGTTGCTAAACGTTACCAGTAGCTACCCGCTAGCTAGCTAGCCTCGTGCTTCGCCGGGCTCCGCCGTAAACAATACTTACCTACAATAATTACCTACGGAAACCTACAATAACTACCTAAATAAACTACCTACAATACCTAACTACAACTACCTACCTACGATCTAAATACATGGTTTAAGCTTTACTCAACACCATATAAGAAGCCAAGCTTACCTCCTGCTAGAGAAAACACAACCTCTCCCGACCACAGCTACATCAAATAGCTACATTCGGCGCATGTGACCAATAAGTTTACAGTTTGGAATACGTAGCATAACCAATATCTTTGAGTGTTTTAGTTTTTCCTATAACTCCCCCAAGAGTCGGCCAGGGCAGATGTTCCGTATAGAAAGGTAATTTGTTCATCAATAAAAAGGCCCAAATATTTATAATTGCTAGTAAACTCAAGAATGTCTTCACCAAAACAAAACTGAAAAACTCTTCTCTTAGTACCTGGTTTTCTAAAATGCATTATCTGTGTTTTTATCTGGTTGATCATGAGTCTCCATCTTTTACACCAATTGACTGCACATAATAACAGGTTCTGCAGGTCTTGTTCAGTTTCTGCCATCAAAATAATATAATCAGCAGCATATAAAAGGAGACTTAGCATTTAATCATCATATCTTACTCCAATATTTAACTGTTTAATTTCTTTTGCCAAACATAGCAAACAAAGTTGGTGAAATGTAAGGGTTGGTGTGAGGTGTGACCCAGGTGCGGTGCAGGATAGACAGTAGGCATCCTGCAGAGATGGTGAAACAAGGATCTTTACTGGTGGTCCCGAATCCAGGATACAAAATAACGGACTTAACACAATAAAAGAAAGGCGGAGCACATAAGTCTCCAACAACAGGCTTACAGACAAAATACGAAATAGTAACTATGATTGAAATTATAAAGAAACAGGGAGAACACTTCTCGAGTACCTGTACATACGTCTCCGATCAGACACTGATTAGTACTGCTGAGCATAGAAAAACTAGCAGAGAAAACTGAGCAAGGGAACACAGCGAAGTGAGGGCATAAATACACAGGTGAACAGGTAAACACAGGTGACACCAGTAGGATCATGATTAGTCCAGACTGTGAGTGAGGAGGTGCCTATGGTTGTTGGAGGAGGACACCTAGTGGATCGCTCTGGAACTGCAACCCCCTCTTGTAACAGGAAGTTGCAGGCGGTAGGCCACTGGGTTGACTCGCCAGACCACTCTGAATGGCCCGACGAACTAGGGGGACAGCTTCCTGGACTCCACGCGGTGTGGCTCTCCCGCGTGGAGAGCCACACCCTCTGTCCCGGGCAAAAAACCGGGGCCGGGCGATGCCTGCGGTTGGCCTGAAGTTGAGACCTGACCGAGGCCCGCTTAAGCGCTGCCCGTACCTGCCTCCAGGTGCGGCGACAGCTACTGATGTGGGCCTGGACCGCCGGGACCGCCGCCTCCTCCTCTTGCTCGGGGAATAGTGGGGGTTGGTACCCGCATTGGCACTGGAAGGGGGACAGGCCGGTGGACGAGAAGAGAAGGGTGTTGTGGGCGTACTCCGCCCACGCCAGTCGCTGACTCCACATAGCTGGGTTGCTGGAGGCGTAGCACCTCAGCACCCCCTCCAGATCCTGGTTGATACGCTCCGTCTGCCCGTTCGACTGGGGATGGAAGCCGGAAGACAAGCTGACGGAGGCGCCTTCCAGAACCTGGAGGCGAACTGAGGGCCCCGATCCGACACCACATCTTGGGGAAGGCCGTGGACCCGGAAAATGTGCTGCACCACCAACTTAGCCGTCTCCCGTGCCGACGGGAGTTTGAGAAGGGGAATGAAGTGGGCAGCCTTCGTAAACTGGTCCACAATGACCAGGACGACTGTGTATCCATCAGAGGGGGGTAGGGCGGAAATGAAATCCAGCAAGATGTGGGACCAGGGGCGCTTGGGGATAGGCAGGGGTCGGAGCAGCCCTGCTGCGGGCTGAAGTGAGCTCTTCGTGCGCGCGCACACCGGGCAAGCAGCCACGAAGGCGCGCGTATCCCCCTAAGCTGATGGCCACCAGAACCTCCTACACAGGAACTCCAACGTCCTGGCACCCCCCGGATGGCTGGTGAGGTCAGACGCGTGCGCCCACTGAAGCAGTCACGAGCACGCCGCCTTGGCCAGCCTATCGATTCCTCACAAAACTGGGGCAGCAATCAGGGCGTTTGGGACAATGGGGTCATCCCTCTCCACCAGGTCCATGGTGTCGAACTGCCGGGAGAGCGCGTCAGGCTTGGTGTTCTTCGACCCCGGACGGTATGAGATCATGAACCGAAACCTGGTGAAGAACAACGCCCACTTGGCCTGGCGCGAGTTGAGCCTCTTGGCCTCCTGAATGTAGGCTAAGTTCTTATGGTCAGTCCATACGACGAATGGATGGGCGGCTCCCTCTAGCCAATGCCTCCACTCCCCCAGGGCGAGCTTGACCGCTAGCAGCTCACGGTTCCCCACGTCGTAATTCCGCTCTGCCGAGGACAGCTGACGGGAGGAAAACGCGCAGAGGTGAGTCTTACCATCCGTGAGGAACCGTTGGGACAGGATTTCTCACACCGCAACGTCTGAAGCATCCACCTCCACAATGAACGGCAGGGACAGATCAGGATGCCCTAGGACTGCGGCCAATGTAAAGCGCTGCTTAAGCGCATCGAATGCGTTCCCCGCTTCCGGGGTCCAGGCGGGTGCGCCGGGTGATGAAGCCCGACCCCAACGGCCGGCCGCCCAGGCGCATGACCGGAACCGGCTCGGAGAGGGAGCGTAACGGAACGGTCCACCCTTGGGCCAGCCTAACAGAAGAAGTTAGAAGGATAATTTAGTTGCTAATTGCAGCCTGCAGTACCCCGGTCGGCCTTCAACTTGAGGTACTCAGGATCCCAGTTTATAGCTGGTTCTAACATGCATCCTTTGTCCTGGTCTTGTGCCCACATTTTCAGACAGGTGTAGATGATTAAAAGATGCATTGTGATCTGATTGTGATCAGATCTTCCTGACCACCTCCGGAGGTAGTCAGGGACCCATAATGTCTGGACATCTTACAAGTGTAGACAGATGTGGACAGTCAAATCATTTAAATCATAATTATCCCACCTTCTAAAATCATTGACAGGTGGCATCATTGACTTATGGCATCAATATGCGTCTTAATATTGATTTGATTTATTTTATTTTAAAAGAATAGCTAAATAATTTGCATACAGGGATGGACCAGGAAATCTGGTCACAATGCGGACACAGTGGACGGATATGAAACACATTTTAATACCATGTGTAAAATTCAGAGTGCCCACATGAAAATGTGGGCAAAGTCAGAATGTGGACAAGATCAGAGTGGTATACTATGAAGAAAGCTAGATCTACTCAGGATTTTATGAAGCAAGCCAGCTTCAGTTATCTTCACATTCCAGGTCAGGCTTCATCCGTACTACGACGGTGGATATTACTCGTCCGCTGAATTCTTCATTGAGAGAATGGTGAAACATCAATCCATGGGCAAGTCAGTGACACATTTTTGTTTGTGCCGAAATCAAAATGAAAGAAAGGTTAGCTGTGGTGTGAAATAGGCTTTTAGAAGTTACGTCTTTATTTTATTACTTATCGTTAATGCTGTCTTTGGTGTGCTTTGGTGTGCTTATCAATGCATGAGCCCCTATTTCCCACTCCTATCGCTCCTTCTGAACAGCTTGTTGCGTTTTGGCCATAGACATATAATCCATAGAAGGGTTTTGGAACCTCTAACCCTGGCAATTTGACTGTTAAACTCATGGGTACACTAGCAAATGCTGCCAGTATTGACTTGAATGGGAACTGCCATCTATGGATTATACAGTGCATTCGGAAAGTATTCAGACCCCTTCACTTTTTCCACATTTTGTTACGTTACAACCTCATCAATCTATACACAATACCCGATAATGACAAAGCAAAAACTGTTTTTTTGAAATCTTTGCAAATCTAAAAAAATAAAATAAAATAAATATCACACCGTAGGGATAGTGCCAGGTTTCCTCAAGATGTGACGCTCGGCATTCAGGCCAAATAGTTAAATCTTGGTTTCATCAGACCTGAGAATCTTGTTTCTCATGGTCTGAGAGTCCTTTAGGTGCCTTTTGGCAAACTCCAAGCGGCCTGTCATGTGCCTTTTACTGAGGAGTGGCTTCCGTCTGGCCACTCTACCATAAAGGCCTGATTGGTGGAGTGCTGCAGAGATGGTTGTCCATCTGCAAGGTTCTCCCATCTCCACAAAGGAACTCTGGAGCTCTGTCAGAGTGACCATCGGGTTCGTGGTCAACTCCCTGGCCAAGGGCCTTCTCCCTCGATTTCTCAGTTTGGCTGGGCGGCCAGGGCTAGGAAGTGTCTTGGTGGTTCCAAACTTCTTCTGTTTAAGAATGATGGAGGCCACTGTGTTCTTGGGGACCTTCAATGCTGCAGACATGTTTTGTTACGCTTCCCCAGATCTATGCCTCGACACAATCCTGTCTCGGAGCTCTACGGACAATTCCTTCGACCTCATGGCTTGGTTTTTGCTCTGACAAGCACTGTCAATTGTGGGACCTGATATAGACAGGTGTGTGCCTTTCCAAATCATGTCCAATCAGTTGAATTTACCACAGGTGGATTCCAATCAAGTTGTAGAAAAATCTCAAGGATGATCAATGGAAACAGGATGCAACTGACCTCAATTTTGAGTCTCATAGCAAAGGGTCTGAATACTTTTTAAAAAATTATTTAAGGCTTTTGCTAACATTTCTAAAAACCAGTTTTTGCTTTGCCATTATGGGGTATTGTGTGTAGATTGATGAGGATTTGTATTTATTTAATATATTTTAGAATAAGGCTGTAACTTAACAAAATGTGGAAAAAGTGAAGGGGTCTGAAAACTTTCCAAATGCACTATGTTTTTTTTTTTTTTGGGGGGGGGGGGGGGGGGGGCAATGCAAATAGTCTGGGTAGCCATTTGATTAGATATTCAGGAGTCTTATGGCTTGGGGGTAGAAGCTGTTTAGAAGCCTCTTGGACCTAGACTTGGCGCTCCGGGCTCCAGGTCCGCTTGCCGTGCGGTAGCAGATAGAACAGTCTATGACTAGGGTGGCTGGTGTCTTTGACAATTTTTAGGCCCTTCCTCTGACACCGCCTGGTATAGAGGTCCTGGATGGCAGGAAGCTTGGCCCCAGTGATGTACTGGGCCGTATGCACTACCCTCTGTAGTGCCTTGCGGTCGGAGGCCGAGCAGTTGCCATACCAGGCAGTGATGCAACCAGTCAGGATGCTCTCGATGGTGCAAGTGTAGAACATTTTGAGGATCTGAGGACCCATGCCAAATCTTTTCTGTCTCCTGAGGTGGAATAGGTTTTGTCATGCCCTCTTCACGACTGTCTTGGTGTGCTTGGACCATGTTAGTTTGTTGGTGATGTGGACACCAAGGAACTTGAAGCTCTCAACCTGCTCCACTACAGCCCTGTCGATGAGAATTGGGGCATGCTCAGTCATTTTCTTTTTCCTGTAGTCCACAATCATCTCCTTTGTCTTGATCACATTGAGGGAGAGGTTGTTGTCCTGGCACCACACGGCCAGGTCTCTGATCTCCTCCCTAAAGGCTGTCTCGTCGTTGTCGGTGATCAGGCCTACCACTGTTGTTTCATCTGCAAACTTAATGATGGTGTTGGAGTCGTGCCAGGCCATGCAGTCATGAGTGAACAGGGAGTACAGCACAGGCTGAGCACGCACCCCTGAGGGGCCCCCGTGTTGAGGATCAGCGTGGCGGATGTGTTGTTACCTACCGTTACCACCTGGGGGCGACCCGTCAGGAAGTCCAGGATCCAGTTGCAGAGGGAGGTGTTAGTCCCAGGATCCTTAGCTTAGTGATGAGCTTTGAGGGCACTATGATGTTGAACGCTGAGCTGTAGTCAATGAATAGCATTCTCACGTAGGTGTTCCTTTTGTCCAGGTGTGAAAGGGCAGTGTGGAGCGCAATCGGGATTGCATCATTTGTGGATCTGTTGGGGCGGTATGCAAATTGGAGTGGGTCTAGGGTTTCTGGGATAATGTTGTTTATGTGAGCCATGACCAGCCTTTCAAAGCACTTCATGGCTACAGACGTGAGTGCTACGGGTCGGTAGTCATTTAGGCAGGTTACCTTAGTGTTCTTGGGCACAGGGACTATGGTGGTCTGCTTGAAACATGTTGGTATTACAGAGGTTGAAAATGTCAGTGAAGACACTTACCAGTTGGTCAGCTCATGCTCGGAGTATACGTCCTGGTAATCCGTCTGAATGTTGACCTGTCTAAAGGTCTTACTCACATCTCATACGGAGAGCGTGATCACACAGTCGTCCGGAACAGCTGATGCTCTCATGCATGTTTCAGTTTTACTTGCCTTGAAGCGACCATAGAAGTAATTTAGCTCGTCTGGTAGGCTTGTGTCCTGTGCAGCTCGCGGCTGTGCTTCCCTTTGTAGTCTGTAATAGTTTGCAAGCCCTGCCACATCCGACGAGCGCCGGAGCCGGTGTAGTACGATTCGATCTTAGTCCTGTATTGACGCTTTGCCTGTTTGACCAATTATTTTACTAAATGTAACTTTGACTATATGTAATTGCTTTGCTTTAAATAGTAAAGTACAACTTTTAAACTTCATCCACTAGCACAAAAATAATTTTAAAGAGCTAAAGCAAGCCGCCCCACAACTTTACAACTTTAGTTCATTAAAATGATCCATTCAGATACGATGGGCAGACAGGAGAAGCCATGCATGAACATATGCACTAAAAGAAAGAGAAAAATGCGTGACAAATGTTTTCAAGGAATAAAATACATACAGGTAACTGCCAAAATAATGGAAACACTTGAGTAAATGAGGGATACAAAGTATATTGGTGTGATACCTGAGTTAATTAATCGATTAAAGCTGCAATATGTAACTTTTTGGGCAACCCGAACAAATTCACATAGAAATGTGAGTTATAGATCTGTCATTCTCATTGATTGCAAGTCTAAGAAGCGGTAGATCTGTTCTATGTGTTATTTCTATGCTTCCCGTTCTTAATTTCGTTTTTGGGTCTTTTACTTTCGGTTTTGTACAATAGCTTCAAACAGCTGAAAATACAATATTTTTGTTATGGAAAATATATTTCTGTCACGGCCGTCTTGAAAGGAAGCGGACCAAAGCGCAGCGTTTGTGGCGAACATGACTTTAATAGATGACGCACAAAATACAAAACAAAAGACGACTCATGAAGTCCACGGTTAACTAACCGAAACGGAACAAAAACCCACAACCCTCAAGAGAACACAAATAGTTTAAATATGGCTCCCAATCAGAGATAACGAGCCGACAGCTGACACTCGTTACCTCCGATTGGGAGTCACACGACACCACAATTAACTCACCCAAAACACCACCAACCGAATACACCCTATACAACAAACCCCACAACAAAACCCAACAAAACAAATACACCCTGGCTCAAATACAAAAGTCCCGGAGCCAGAGTGTCACAGTACCCCCCCCTAAAGGTGCGCACTCCGGGCGCACCAGCATACAGTCTAGGGGAGGGTCTGGGTGGGCGTCTGTCCACGGTGGCGGTTCTGGCCCTGGTCGTGGTCCCCACCCCACCTTAGTCACCACCCGCTTCCCTAGCCTCCTCCACATGACCACCCTCCAACTTACCCCACCTGGATTTAGGGGCAGCACCGGGCTAAGGGACAGCACCTGGCTAAGGGGCAGCACCGGACTAAGAGGCAGCACCAGGATAAGGGGCAGCACCGGGCTAAGGGACAGCATCGGGCTAAGGGACAGCCCCGGACTCAATGGCGGATCCTGGCTGGCTGGCTCTGGCGGATCCTGGCTGGACGGCTCTGGCGGATCCTGGCTGGCTGACGGATCTGGCTGCTCATGGCTGGCTGACGGATCTGGCTGCTCATGGCTGGCTGACGGATCTGGCTGCTCATGGCTGGCTGACGGATCTGGCTGCTCATGGCTGGCTGACGGATCTGGCTGCTCATGGCTGGCTGACGGATCTGGCTGCTCATGGCTGGCTGACGGATCTGGCTGCTCATGGCTGGCGGAAGGCTCTGGCTGATCCTGTCTGGCGGAAGGCTCTGGCTGATCCTGTCTGGTGGAAGGCTCTGGCTGATCCTGTCTGGCGGAAGGCTCTAGCGGCTCCGGTCTGGCGGACGGCTCTGAAGTCTCATGGCAGACGGGCGGCTTAGCAGGCTCAGTACAGATGGCCAGTTCAAGCGCCTTAGGGCAGACGGGCAGTTCAGACCCCGTTGGGCAGACGGCAGACTCTGGCCGTCTGAGGCGCACCGTAGGCCTGGTGCGTGGTGCCGGAACTGGAGGTACCGGGCTGAGGACACGCATCTCAGGGCTAGTGCGGGGAGAAGCAACAGGGCATGCTGGACCCTGGGGACGCACATAAGGCCTAGTGCGGAGAGCAGGAACAGGGCATGCTGGACCCTGGGGACGCACATAAGGCCTAGTGCGGAGAGAAGCAACAGGGCATGCTGGACCCTGGGGACGCACATAAGGGCTAGTGCGGAGTGCAGCAACAGGACGCACAGGACTCGGGGAACACACAGGAGGCTTGGTGCGTGGTGTAGGCACTGGTGGTACTGGGCTGGAGCGGGGATGTGGCGCCGGAAATACCGGACCGTGCAGGCTTACTGGCCCCCTTGAGCACTGAGCCTGCCCAACCTTACCCGGGTTGATGCTCCCCGTCGCCCGACCAGTACGGGGAGGTGGAATAACCCGCACCGGCCTATGTGGGCGAACCGGGAACACCATGCGTAAGGCTGGTGCCATGTACGCCGGCCCGAGAAGACGCACTGGTAGCCGGATGCGTTGGGCCGGCTTCATGACATCTGGCTCAATGCTCACTCTAACCCGGCCGATACGTGGAGCTGGAATGTACCGAACCGGGCTATGCCTGCGTACAGGAGACACCATGCGCTCTACTGCGTAACACGGTGTCTGCCCGTACTCTCGCTCTCCACGGTCAGTCCAGGGAGTAGGCGCAGGTCTCCTACCTGACTTCGCCACACTCCCTTTTAGCCCCCCCCCAATAAATTTTTGGGTAGTACCCACGGGCTTCCAGCCTCGACTCCGTGCTGCCTCCTCATACCACCTCCTCTCGGCTTTAGCTGCCTCCAGCTCTTCACGAGGGCGGCGATATTCTCCCGGTTGTGCCCAAGGACCCTTTCCATCCAGTATCTCCTCCCATGTCCATGAATCCTTGATAGGCGTCCATAAATCCTGTTGCCGCTTGACACGCTGCTTGGTCCTTTTATGGTGGGTTTTTCTGTCACGGCCGTCTTGAAAGGAAGCGGACCAAAGCGCAGCGTTTGTGGCGAACATGACTTTAATAGATGACGCACAAAATACAAAACAAAAGACGACTCATGAAGTCCACGGTTAACTAACCGAAACGGAACAAAAACCCACAACCCTCAAGAGAACACAAATAGTTTAAATATGGCTCCCAATCAGAGATAACGAGCCGACAGCTGACACTCGTTACCTCCGATTGGGAGTCACACGACACCACAATTAACTCACCCAAAACACCACCAACCGAATACACCCTATACAACAAACCCCACAACAAAACCCAACAAAACAAATACACCCTGGCTCAAATACAAAAGTCCCGGAGCCAGAGTGTCACAATTTCACAGTGGTTTAGATGGTTTAATGATTCTCTACACTGTATTTGCTTGTTTTGTCACATAAACTGAAATTAGGCAAACTATTAGAATTTTAGCAACCAGGAAATGGCTGAGCGATTTCTACATAGTGTATCTTTAACATCCCATCATGCTTAGGTTCATATATAAAAATGCTGGGCAGGCCATTATGTTGGCTACTATGGCTATGCCCCCATAGGATGACAATGCCCCCATCCACAGGGCATGAGTGGTCACTGAATGGTTTGATGAGCATGAAAACGATGTAAACCATATGCCATGGCCATCTCAGTCATCAGATTTAAACTCAATTGAACACTTATGGGAGATTCTGGAGCGGCACCTGAGACAGCGTTTTCCACCACCATCTACAAAACACCAAATGATGGAATTTCTTGTGGAAGAATGGTGTCGCATCCCTCCAATAGAGTTCCAGACACTTGTAGAATCTATGCCAAGTGCATTGAAGCTGTTCTGGCTCTATTAAGACTTTGGTATTTACTTTATTTTGGCAGTTCCCTGTAACTAGCGACAGTATAGTGGAGTTTAGTGCCAGGCCAGCAGTGGACGTTTTTTATGTTGTGTGTGTGTGTGTGTGAGAGAGAGATATATCTGGGGGAAAATATCTGGAACACAATGTTGTCAGGCCAATTTGTACTGGTATCGGCATGACAACCCCTCATCTTTCTCTATTCCTGTTGATACTCAAGGTCACAGCAACCATCAACAAAGCTTCACAGTTACAGTGCATTCGGAAAGTATTCAGGCCCATTCCCTTTTTCCACATTTTGTTACGTTACAGACTTATTCTACAATTGATTAAATACTTTTTCCCCCTCATCAATCTACACAAAATACCCCATGATGACAAAGCAAAAACAGGTTTCTAGACATTTTTGTCAATTTATTACAAATAAAAAACAGAAATACCTCATTTACATAAGTATTCAGACCCTTTCATATGAGACAAAAGGAGGAAAATTATCTAGATGTGTGGAGGTTTCATTTTTTATAACTTGATAGTTATGTTGCACTCTGCATGGTGGGATATTTACCTTCCTATCCAAATGCTACTTATCTGGTGTTTCTGACCATCTCTTTCTACCTCCCTCTCTCCATCCCTTCCTTCTTCCTTCCCCGTTCCTCCCTCTTCTCCTTTCCTTCCTCCTTCCTTCCCGCTCTCCCACCCTCCCCCCACAGCTCCGACAGAGGTGGTATTCTCGTTTGACGTGGGCAACGGCCCCTTTGAGGTGCGGGTGGAGACGGGCGACGTGGAGCTAAACGACGACAGATGGCACCGCGTTCGAGCGGAGCGGAACGTGAAAGAGGCTTCGCTGCGTGTGGACGCTTTCCCCAGCGCCACACAGAAGGCCCCCGCAGACGGGCACATCCATCTGCAGCTCAACAGTCAATTATTTGTAGGTAGGAAAACCCTCCTGCTTCAGACCACTACTCATCCCTCCCTCATTAGAGACAGAAATAAACCAGACCTGGGTTCAAATACTGTTTGAAATCTTTCAAGCGTTTGATCTAGCCTGCCCTGGGAGTGGGCAGTTGGGCGGGGTTTGCAGTTGTGGGACTACTATATCAGGTCATAAAGGCAAGCTCAAGCACGCACAGATAAAGTATTTGAAATGAATTTCAATAGTATTTGAACTCAGGTCTGCCATTAAGAGGAATAAGCACGTGTGATATAAATGGCTCAGTGAGAGCTGCTAGGCTTCCTACATTCACCAGCCCTACCCACAGGGAGGGATGTCTGTCATTTGTAGTAATGCCGTTTTTGTCAGCTTTCCAAAAGGTACCCTATTCCCTTTGTAGTGCACTACTTTTGACCAGAGCCCTATGGCCCCTGGTCAAAAGTAGTGCACTACATAGGGAATAGGGTGCCAGTTGGGACACAGCCTTTGAGTTGGGGCACCCTGAGATTCTTCCTGTTTGTCTCCACCCTCCTTGAGGAGCGTGCCAGAGAGCGTGCCAGTGGACATTTTCTGTTTTCTCTGTTTCCTCTGCCGGTGGTGAACATAGACTATGAACCGAGAGCTTCCAAATATAGGTACCGATAATTCCAGATGGAATTGGTGTGTGAAATATTGTGCAATTTATCTCCTTTTTCAAGTTTTTAGATCAGTACAACATAGTTCATGAGGTAAGTGTATAGGAGAAAGAGGGGCTCTGCTTCCAACAGCAAGTTGCAGTGGATTCACCACCTATAAGCAGCAGCCGCCGTCACAGTATTGGCTAAATGCAAATCCTCTGTGGTTTCCTATTGGATGATAGGTGCTGTCTCTGTGGATGATAGGTGCTTGTCCTCTGTGGTTTCCTAATGGATGATAGGTGCTGTCTCTGTGGATGATAGGTGCTTGTCCTCTGTGGTTTCCTATTGGATGATAGGTGCCGATCCTCTGTGGTTTCCTATTGGATGATAGGTGCTGATCCTCTGTGGTTTCCTATTGGATGATAGGTGCTGAGCCGATTTTTTGCTGAACACTGAACATTATCACATTCAATAAATAACCATTAATCAGGACACGCTGCTGGCCTTTGGATCACACGATTCTAGTGTGTCCGTGTGCGCGTGTGTGTGTGTGTGTGCAAGCATGCACACGTGTGTGAACGCACATGCATTCTCATACAACCTTTCTCTCAGATCATCTGTCCATTGATATGCATTTGCTTGGAGCTATGTTTAATATTCTATGCTATAACTACATCAGACAGCTATAATGGGAAATTATTTTGCCTTCTGACAGGTTCTGATAAAACTATACAGTTAGTGCATTCAACTTAACATAGCTAGGTGGGACAACCACATATCACAGGCATAGTAAGTACACTTTTCCTCAATAAAGTAGCTATTAGCAAAGTCAGAGCTAGAGGGGAGGGGAGAGGTCGAGGTGATGAGGGGGATTATTTAAGGTACTCTTTGAAGAGATAGGGTTTCAGGTGCTTTCGGAAGATGGGCAGGGACTCTGCTGTCCTAGCTTCAGGGGGAAGCTGGTTCCACCATTGGGGTGCCAGGACAGTCTTCAGCAAGCAGTGGCAGAGTGAGGAGCTCTCTCAGAAAACCTCTGCCCTGCACATCAACATCTGGGCCACAACCCATGGACCACTTCTCCTGCAGCTCTGGACTTTTCCAACACACGCTAGTGTTAGTGCGTCTCTGACCTACGTAAGTGCACTATACTGGGATAGGGCACTTTATGTCTGGTTGTACTGTAAGCTTGTATGTAATTATCTGATAGCCATTCCTGCCGTAGGCCTTAAGATGGCAGCCGACCAGTGTTGTTGTTGTTATTGTTATGCAACCTAAGATGGCGGTCCCCATGGCCTTATCCAACCTGCTAGCCTAGCCTAACCTAGCATGCTAACTTATTACCTATGCTAGTTGGCCCTGTATATATTGTGTGCTATGTTTATCATATTAGCCTATTGCTAACACCTTATAGCTGCTATTGTGTATATATATTGCTATACTGTGTGCTACGTTAGCTATAATAGCCAATACTGCTAGCCTCGCTAACGCTAGTTGACCTGTACATACTGTGTTCTATGTTAAGCCTAATAGGATGTTATGTTAATACCTGCTACTGGCTGTATGCTATGTGTTGTTCATTGCTGCTATACTGTTATATAGCTATATTATTTCCGCTAGCCTATGCTACATAGCTACTAGCATCACTGTTATTACTGTTGTGTAATTCATTCCCCTTTCTGTTCCATTACAGAAACCACTATCAGGTTCACATCCACCTGGTCAACTTCCTGTTTACTGTGTGTGTGCACCTGTCTTGAGTGTGGCAATAAACGTGTGTTCTGTACACCTGTGTCCCACTGGTACAGTGAGGGAAAAAATTATTTGATCCCCTGCTGATTTTGTACATTTGCCCACTGACAAAGAAATGATCAGTCTATAATTTTAATTGTAGGTTTATTTGAACAGTGAGAGACAGAATAACAACAAAAAAATACAGAAAAACACATGTCAAAAATGTTATAAATTGATTTGCATTTTAATGAGGGAAATAAGTATTTGACCCCCTCTCAATCAGAAAGATTTCTGGCTCCTAGGTGTATTTTATACAGGTAACGAGCTGAGATTAGGAGCACACTCTTAAAGGGAGTGCTCCTAATCTCAGCTTGTTACCTGTATAAAAGACACCTGTCCACAGAAGCAATCAATGAGATTCCAAACTCTCCAACATGGCCAAGACCAAAGAGCTCTCCAAGGATGTCAGGGACAAGATTGTAGACCTACACAAGGCTGGAATGGGCTACAAGACTATCGCCAAGCAGCTTGGTGAGAAGGTGACAACAGTTGGTGCGATTATTCGCAAGTGGAAGAAACACAAAATAACTGTCAATCTCCCTCGGCCTGGGGCTCCATGCAAGATCTCACCTCGTGGAGTTGCAATGATCATGAGAACGGTGAGGAAACAGCCCAGAACTACACGGATGAATCTTGTCAATGATCTCAAGGCAGCTGGGACCATAGTCACCAAGAAAACAATTGGTGACACACTACGCCGTGAAGGAATGAAATCCTGCAGAGCCCGCAAGGTCCCCCTGCTCAAGAAAGAACATATACAGGGCCGTCTGAAGTTTGCCAATGAACATCTGAATGATTCAGAGGAGAACTGGGTGAAAGTGTTGTGGTCAGATGAGACCAAAATCGAGCTCTTTGGCATCAACTCAACTCGCCATGTTTGGAGGAGGAGGAATGCTGCCTATGACCCCAAGAACACCACCCCCACTGTCAAACATGGAGGTGGAAACATTATGCTTTGGGGGTGTTTTTCTGCTAAGGGGACAGGAGAACTTCACCGCATCAAAGGGACGATGGACGGGCCATGCACCGTCAAATCTTGGGTGAGAACCTCCTTCCCTCAGCCAGGGCATTGAAAATGGGTCGTGGATGGGTATTCCAGCATGACAATGACCCAAAACACACGGCCAAGGCAACAAAGGAGTTGCTCAAGAAGAAGCACATTAAGGTCCTGGAGTGGCCTAGCCAGTCTCCAGACCTTAATGCCATAGAAAATCTGTGGAGGGAGCTGAAGGTTCGAGTTGCCAAACGTCAGCCTCGAAACCTTAATGACTTGGAGAAGATCTGCAAAGAGGAGTGGAACAAAATCCCTCCTGAGATGTGTGCAAACCTGGTGGCCAACTACAAGAAACGTTTGACCTCTGTGATTGCCAACAAGGGTTTTGCCACCAAGTAATAAGTCATGTTTTGCAGAGGGGTCAAATACTTATTTCCCTCATTAAAATGCAAATCAATTTCTAACATTTTTGACATGCATTTTTCTGGATTTGTTTTGTTGTTATTTTGTCTCTCACTGTTCAAATAAACCTACCATTAAAATTATAGACTGATCATGTCTTTGTCAGTGGGCAAGCGTACAAAATCAGTAGGGGATCAAATACTTTTTTCCCTCACTGTAATTTCTGGCATTTTACCGGGACGTGCACCTATAATCTAAACCGGCACCTCTATCGGAGACCACCACATGGTGCCACTCTTTTTCAGTACATCCATTCATGGTTCATATTCACTGATGTGTCAGTCTTATGATATGGCCACACACTGTGAACCAATGCGGCTTATCAACACCACTGCGTTTCTGGGCATGCAATAATTGGCTTTTAGAGGACACGACGAGAGGGAAAGTTCCACTAACAAGTGCAACTACAAGGAGCTTGCAGCGCTAAGTCCCCTCCTGTTCCCTGATTAAGAGGTGATGAGCTATACCATTGTCAACTCTCTCCTGAGATGAACTGATGCCACGTCTTATGTGCCCTCTCATTCACTGGCACATTGAATGTTTCCTCTCCAAGCACTTCAAATCCTGTCCTGCACTGAAGTCAAGCCTCTGAACACCTCAATTCATGCCTCATACCCTCATTAAATTACTGCTGTGATCCCTTCCCAAAACGATACACTGGGGACACGCCCGACACAGCTCTGAGAGGCTACACCAAACATTAACACACAGCCGGGCCGGTGCATAGCAAGGAACGACCTGCCACTGACAACTTACCCAGCCATCACCCTCCCCGCCTGCGCTTCTCTCTCGCTCTCCACATTCAACGAGAGACAGACAACAACACAGTTGTGCAGGGCGCTGGTGGGGGCGTTCGTGGCCATGGAGGGAGCACCTAAGTCCCCAGCGGCTCCGGGAAAGGTTTGTTCCCTTGGACTGTTGGAGTTCAAAGCAGTGAAAACTCATTTGAATCTGCTGGGGACTCGTGTGCTATTAAGTGTATAATCTGCAACATGGTTGTAGTTGTCACGAAGAAAGGTCCGAAAGAAAGGATTATTACTCTTCAGTAAGAAATTTCAAATTTGACCAAGCGCCTTGAAATGAATAAGTATTCCATGAGACTATCGGCATCTTTAAATGCTTCCTATCAAAACATCCAAGAGGATCATAATGGGACCTTCCTGGACAATGATACATTTCCGCCACTGCACCCCTCTACTAGCTTGAACCAGAAAATGGCTGCTCACTGTTCGACTCCAGGTGAGCGTAAATGGATGCGTGTCAGAACCAAAAAGAAGGAGAAGAATCGTTCTCGGCGTGCCTGCCTTCTTCCCCCGCGTCCAGCCCTCTTCTCAGGTGAGTTCTGTGGCTCTGGCCTCGCTATCAGCTTCGAGACATGGCAGAGGCCGGATCATTCAATGGTGAGGCATACAGTGGGGAGAACAAGTATTTGATACACTGCCGATTTTGCAGGTTTTCCTACTTACAAAGCATGTAGAGGTCTGTAATTTTTATCATAGGTACACTTCAACTCTGAGAGACAGAATCTAAAACAAAAATCCAGAAAATCACATTGTATGATTTTTAAGTAATTAATTTGCATTTTATTGCATGACATAAGTATTTGATACATCAGAAAAGCAGAACTTAATATTTGGTACAGAAACCTTTGTTTGCAATTACAGAGATCATACGTTTCCTGTAGGTCTTGACCAGGTTTGCACACACTGCAGCAGGGATTTTGGCCCACTCCTCCATACAGACCTTCTCCAGATCCTTCAGGTTTCGGAGCTGTCGCTGGGCAATACGGACTTTCAGCTCCCTCCAAAGATTTTATATTGGGTTCAGGTCTGGAGACTGGCTAGGCCACTCCAGGACCTTGAGATACTTCTTACGGAGCCACTCCTTAGTTGCCCTGGCTGTGTGTTTCAGGTCGTTGTCATGCTGGAAGACAGAGCCACGACCCATCTTCAATGCTCTTACTGAGGGAAGGAGGTTGTTGGCCAAGATCTCGCGATACATGGCCCCATCCATCCTCCCCTCAATACGTTGCAGTCGTCCTGTCCCCTTTGCAGAAAAGCATCCCCAAAGAATGATGTTTCCACCTCCATGCTTCACGGTTGGGATTGTGTTCTTGGGGTTGTACTCATCCTTCTTCTTCCTCCAAACACGGCGAGTGGAGTTTAGACCAAAAAGCTCTATTTTTGTCTCATCAGACCACATTACCTTCTCCCATTCCTCCTCTGGATCACCCAGATGGTCATTGGCAAACATCAGACGGGCCTGGGCATGCGCTGGCTTGAGCAGGGGGACATTGCGTGCGCTGCAGGATTTTAATCCATGACGGCATAGTGTGTTACTAATGGTTTTCTTTGAGACTGTGGTCCCAGCTCTCTTCAGGTCATTGACCAGGTCCTTCCGTGTAGTTCTGGGCTGATCCCTCACCTTCCTCATGATCATTGATGCCCCACGAGGTGAGATCTTGCATGGAGCCCCAGACCGAGGGTGATTGACCGTCATCTTGAAGTCCTTACATTTTCTAATAATTGTGCCAACAGTTGTTGCCTTTTCACCAAGCTGCTTGCCTATTGTCCTGTAGCCCATCCCAGCCTTGTGCAGGTCTACAATTTTATCCCTGATGTCCTTACACAGCTCTCTGGTCTTGGCCATTGTGGAGAGGTTGGAGTCTGTTTGATTGAGTGTGTGGACAGGTGTCTTTTATACAGGTAACGAGTTCAAACAGGTGCAGTTAATACAGGTAATGAGTGGAGAACAGGTGGGCTTCTTAAAGAAAAACTAACAGGTCTGTGAGAGCCGGAATTCTTACTGATTGGTAGGTGATCAAATACTTATGTCATGCAATAAAATGCTAATGAATTACTTAAAAATCATACAATGTGATTTTCTGGATTTTAGTTTTAGATTCTGTCTCTCACAGTTGAAGTGTACCTATGATAAAAATTACAGACCTCTACATGCTTTGTAAGTAGGAAAACCTGCAAAATCGGCAGTGTATCAAATACTTGTTCTCCCCACTGTATATCTGTACCTGGGGCAAGGACTTTGTGTTTTCCTGGGGCAAAAGTTCAGGATATCACCAGGTTGCTTCCCGAGGCTGTGCATCAGTCACCGGGAGCTGATACTATCATGGTTCATGTGGGGTCGAATGACATTATGAAGGGCAGCTCAGAACAGCTGAAGATGGATTTTAAAGAACTGATTGGGTCACTACTTGACACCAACAAACGGCCAATAATATCTGGCCCTATGCCCTCCCTAGATCTTGGCATTGTACGGTTCAGCAGACATTTAGCCCTCCATAACTGGCTACGAGGCTATTGCAGCTCTGTGGATGTAACATTTATTGACAATTATGATACCTTCTGGAAACAAAGTTCGTATTATAAGGAGGATGGGCTCCACCCAAATAATTTGGGTTCCTGGGTCCTTTCACAGCATTATAAGGCTGCGTTGAGACAATAACTTATCAATGACCCAAGCCCATCTCATTTAATTCCCACCATTGTGTCGCTGAGTTGTCATAATGCTTCAGCAAATGTACATTATCCCAGGGGCGTTGGAAGACACAATGTAAGTAACCTAATTTATGTCCCTGTTACTGCACTGAATGCCTCTGCTAATCATAGAGCTATTGTATGCAGTAATCATATGCCTATGAACCAGAGTTATACTGTTAGCACTAAGGTGGTGTGCCCAAGCAGGAAGTCCACTGTGTGCAGCTCACCCTGCACTAACATAAATAGCCAAAGCATGTCTACCTCTGTTAAGCTTCCCAGTAAAGCAAGAAAAACATTCAAGCATCACAGAAAAGTGTTAAAAACAGCCCATGTTAACATATGTAGCTTAAAGAACAAGGTTCATGAAATCAATAATTTGCTAGTAACAGATGACATTCATATTCTTGCAGTCTCTGAAACTCACTTAGATAATACCTTTGATGATAAAGTGGTAGCAATACATGGTTATAAGATCTACAGAAAATACAGAAATGCCAAAGGTGGAGGTGTGGCTGTTTATATTCAGAACCACATTCCTGTAAAGCTTAGAGAGGATCTCATGTTAAATACTGTTGAAGTAATATGGCTACATGTTCATCTGCCTCACCTAAAGCCCATTCTGGTGGGAAGCTGCTATAGACCACCAAGTGCTAACAGTCAGTATCTGGATAACGTGTGAAATGCTTGATAATGACATCAATAGAGAAGTATATTTTCTGGGTGATTTAAATATCGACTGGCTTTCATCAGGCTGCCCACTCAAGAGAAAGCTTCAAACCGTAACCAGTGCCTGCAACCTGGTTCAGGTTATCAATCAACCTACCAGGGTAGTTACAAACAGCACAGGAATTAAATCATCAACATGTATTGATCACATCTTTAATAATGCTGCAGAAATTTGTTTGAAGCAGTATTAAAATCCATTGGATGTAGTGATCACAATATAGTAGCCATGTCTAGGAAAACCAACGTTCCAAAGGCTGGGCCTAATATAATGTATAAGAGGTCATACAATAAGTTTTGTAGCGATTCCTATGTTGTTGATGTAAAGAATATTTGTTGGTCCGTGGTGTGTAATGAGGAGCAACCAGACACTGCACTTGACAAATTTATGAAATTGCTTATCCAAGTTACTAATAAGCATGCACCAATTAAGAAAATGACTGTAAAAACTGTTAAATCCCTGAGGATTGATGACGAATTGAAAAATAGTATGGTTGAGAGGGATGATGCAAAATAAATGGCAAATAGGTCTGGCTGTAGAACCGATTGGCAAACGTACTGCAAATTGAGAAATAATGTGACTGAACTGAATAACAAGAAGAAGAAACTACACTATGAAACAAAAATAAATGACATAAAGAATGATAGTAAAAAGCTTTGGAGAACCTAAAATGAAATTTTTGGCAAAAAGGCAAACTCCGCTCCATCATTTATTGAATCAGATGGCTCATTCATCACAAAACTCACTGATATTGCCAACTACTTTAATGATTTTTTCATTGGCAAGATTAGCAAACTTAGGCATGACATGCTAGCAACAAACGCTGACACTACACATCCAAGTATATCTGACCAAATTATGAAAGACAAGCATTGTAATTTTGAATTCCGTAAAGTAAGTGTTGAAGAGGTTAATTTTTTGTTGTTGTCTATCAACAATGACAAGCCACCGGGGTCTGACAATTTGGATGGAAAATTACTGAGGATAATAGCGGATGATATTGCCACTCCTATTTTCCATATCTTCAATTTAAGCCTACTAGAAAGTGTGTTCCCTCATTCCTGGAGGGAAGCAAAAGTTATTCCCCTACCTAAGGATAGTAAATCCCCCTTTACTGGCTCAAATAGCTGACTAATCAGCCTGTTACCAACCCTTTGTAAACTTTTTGAAAAAATGTGTTTGACGAGATACAATGCTATTTTACAGTAAACAAATTGACAACAGACTTTCAGCACGCTTATAGGGAAGGACATTCAACAAGTACAGCACTTACGCAAATGACTGATGATTGGCTGAGAAAAATTTATGATAAAAAGATTGTGGGGGCTGTTTTGTTAGACTTCAGTGCGGCTTTTGACATTATTGATCATAGTCTGTTTCTGGAAAAACGTATGTGTTATGACTTTACACCCCCTGCTATATTGTGGATAAAGAGTTACCTGTCTAACAGAACACAGAGGGTGTTCTTTAATGGAAGCCTCTCCAACAAAATCCAGGTAGAATCAGGAATTCCCCAGGGCAGCAGTCTAGGCCTCTTAGTTTTTTCAATCTTTACTAACGACATGCCACTGGCTTTGAGTAAACCAGTGTGTCTATGTATGCGGATGACTCAACACTATACACGTCAGCTACTACAGCGAGTGAAACCACTGCAACCCTTAACAGAGAGCTTCAATTAGTTTCAGAATGGGTGGCAAGGAATAAGTTAGTCCTAAATATTAAAAAAACTAAAAGCATTGTAATTGGGACAAATCATTCACTAAACCCTAAACCTCAACTAAATCTTGTAACGAATAATGTGGTAATTGAGCAAGTTGAGGAGACTAAACTGCTTGGAGTAACCCTGGATTGTAAACTGTCATGGTCAAAACATATTGATGCAACAGTAGCTAGGATGGGGAGAAGTCTGTCCATAATAAAGCGCAACTCTGCATCCTTAACAGCACTACCAATACGGCAGGTCCTACAGGCCCTAGTTTTGTCGCACTGTTCAGTTGTGTGGTCAGGTGCCACAAAGATTGCAATTGGCTCAGAAAAGGGCAGCACGGCTGGCCCTTTGATGTACACAGAGAGCTAACATGGAGGAGAGATTGACTTCATCACTACTTGTATTTGTGAGAAGTATTGACATGTTGAATGCACCGAGCTGTCTGTTTGAATTACTGGCACACAGCTCAGACACCCATGCATACCCCACAAGACATGCCACCAGAGGTCTTTTCACAGTCCCCAAGTCCAGGAGCCATGACTACATGGAACTCTATTCCACATCAAGTAACTCATGCAAGCAGTAAAATATGATTTAAAAAACAGATAAAAATACACCTCATGGAACAGCAGGACTGTGTAACAACACAAACATAGGCACAGACACATGCATACAAACACACGTACACATGGATTTTGTGTTGTAGATATGTGGTAGTAGAGTAGGGGCCTGACGGCACACACTTAATATGTTGTGAAATCTGTTGTAAATGTATTGTAATGAAAAAATAAAAATTATAATAATGTATGCATTCACTAACTGTAAGTTGCTCTGGATAAGAGCGTCTGCTAAATGACAAAAAATGTAAATGTAGTGTAAAAATTTTTTTAGAACTGCCTTAATTTTGCTGGGGCCCAGGAAGACTAGCTTCTGCCTTGGCATCAGCTAAATGGGATCCATAATAAATACAAATACAAATGCTGTCGCACATACAGTGCATTCGGAAAGTATTCAAAACCCTTCCCTTTTTCCACATTTTGTTACGTTACAGCCTTATTCTAAAATGGATTAAATAAAAATGTTTGTCATCAATCTACACACAATACCCCATAATGACAAAGCACAAACAGGTTTTTAGATTTTTTTTTGCAAATGTATGAAAAAAATGTAAAACAGAAATACCTTATTTACATAAGTTTTCAGACCCTTTGCTATGAGACTCGAAAATTGAGCTCAGGTGCATCCTGTTTCCATTGATCATCCTTGAGATGTTTCTACAACTTGATTGGAGTCCACCTGTGGTAAATTCAATTGATTGGACATGATTTGGAAAGGCACACACCTGTCTATATAAGGTCCCACAGTTGACAGTGCATGTCAGAGCAAAAACCAAGCCATGAGAACCCAATGCTCACTCTGACAAAGTTCCAGAGTTCCTCTGTGGAGATGGGAGAACCTTCCAGGAGGACAACCATCTCTGCAGCACTCCACCAATCAGGCCTTTACAGTACAGCGGCCAGACGGAAGCCACTCCTCAGTAAAAGGCACATGACAGCCTGCATGACAGCCTGATTCTCAGGTCTGATGATACCAAGATTGAACTTTTTGGCCTGAATCCCAAGCGTCACGTCTGGAGGAAACCTGGCACCATCCCTACGGTGAAGCATGGTGGTGGCAGCATCATGCTGTGGGGATGTTTTTCAGCAGCAGGGACTGGGAGACTAGTCAGGATTGAGGGAAAGATGAATGGAACAAAGTACAGAGAGATCCTTGATGAAAACCTGCTCCAGAGCGCTCATGACCTCAGACTGGGGCGAAAGTTCACCTTCCATCAGAACAACAACCCTAAGCACACAGCCAAGACAACCTGACAGAGCTTGAGAGGATCTGCAGAGAAGAATGGGAGAAACTCCCCAAATACTGGTGTGCAAAGCTTATAACGTCATACCCAAGAAGACTCGAGGCTGTAATTGCTGCCAAAATTGCTTCAACAAAGTACTGAGTAAAGGGTCTGAATACTTTTGTAAATGTAATATTTAAGTTGCTAAAAACTTGTTTTTGCTTTGTCATTATGGGGTATTGTGTGTAGATTGATGAGGGAAAAAAACAATTTAATCAATTTTAGAATAAGGCTGTAATGTAACAAAATGTGGAAAAAGTCAAGGGCTCTGAATACTTTCTGAATGCACTGTACCGGCATGCCAGTAGATGTATGAACATACCATATACAGGTAACCTAACTGCCAAATTAAAGGAAATAGCAACATAAAGAGTCATAAATAGGGTGTTGGGCCGCCACGAGCCAGAACAGCTTCAATGCACCTTGGCATAGATTATACAAGTGTCTGGAATGCTACTGGAGGGATGCAACATCATTCTTCCATGAGAAATACCATCATTTGTTGTTTTGTTGATGGTGTTGGAAAACGCTGTCTCAGGCGCCGCTCCAGAATCTCCCATAAGTGTTCAATTGGGTTGAGATCTGGTGACTAGGGGTGTAACGAATTTGGGTCCTTAGCGTTAAGAAAAATCCTTAACGGAAAAACAATGTTTTTTAGTTTTTTTCCCTACAAACTTAAAATCACAGTTCAGCTCTCCTGCTCTTTCTCTTCGCTAATAATGTGAGTGTGTGTTCAGTCTTCGGTCTGTTGCGTGTAGAATATCCTAGCCTATTCATTGATGATAGATAGGCATAGCTTTACTGAAGTTGCGAGACATTGCAAGCCAAGAAATTGTGAAATACAGCATTCCATTGCAAGATACAGCTTTTAATTTCGAAAGATAGGCATAGTGCACGGTTTTAACTCTGTCTGCCTGATGGCCGACCTGCCTATACTGTGCCCCTCCCCTCTCTCTCCATCCCTCGCTAGCTCGCTATGAAAGATGTGAGTGTTTGTGTTCTCTTAAGTACAGCAACTAATCAGTCTCCTTCGTTTCAAAAATACAGAATATTAGGAGGTATTCCTTGCGGAATATGTGTTTTTTTTCTACTAAATGTCTTGGTAAGTCACGGTATTTAACAAACTTTAAATTACTTTTTGTTATCAGAGAGTGGTCTGCGCGCATCCCTACTGGTGACTGAGATGGCCATGGCATATGGTTTACATTGTTTTCATGCTCATCATACCAGTCAGTGACTACTCGAGCCCTGCGGATGGGGGCATTGTCATCCTATAGGGGCATAGCCATTTTAGCCAAAATAATGGCCAAAATAATGCATTTTAATACATGGCCCTAAGCATTATGGGATGTTAATTGCTTATTAACTCAGAAATCACACCTGTGTGGAAGCACCTGCTTTCAATATACTTTGTATACCTCATTTACTCAAGTGTTTCTATTATTTTGGCAGTTACCTGTATGTTGCTTGTTTGATGATACTGTGGCTTTCAAGTGTACCTTACAAAGTATTCAACTCACTTTATGTTGTAGGATTACTGAAATATGTACTTTTCAATGCACAAATGTTATACTGTAATATATTTTCAGAAATCATTATGTTAAGAGACTGGGATCTCGCTGGGGCTGCTAGTTTAGAACTGACCTGTATTTGGTTTAAACACATTGACTGCCCCCTGAGGTTCCTACTGACATATTTTCCTGTTAAGTGTTTTATTCTCTGACAGCTTTCCTCTCCACCCCCCCCCCCCCCCCCCCCACACACACACACACACACTATCTCTCTCTCTCACACTCTCTCTCTCTCTGACAGCTTTCCTCTCCTTTTCCTGCTCCAGTGGTCCAAGCGGAGCGGCATCTCCGCTACTCAGGGATTTGCCTCGGCTCACCGTTCCACTCCACCGGCATCATGAGCTCATTCTGATGCACAATTACCCAAACATGATTATATCCCACCGGGCAGTTACCCAAAGTCCGCTCTGCGATGACTAAATGACAGTTTATTCCAACTCAACAGTTACTACTGTAGCATAAGAGTATTCAATAATATTTGATTTGACACATACCTAAGAAACACTTGAACAATGTAGTACACCTGCCAGGCCATCATTGTAAATAAGAATTTGTTCTTAATTGACTCACCTGGATAAATAAAGTTGTTTTTATTGTAGGGTTGTTTTGCTTAAAAAAAATGGTTTTCAGTTGCAGCATCAGTTAGTCTACAATGACAAAGTGACATTTTATTCAACGGTTCCTAAAAGGAAAGATTTCTTACATTACATTTGACTAAAGATTTGACAGCCTGCCTAAGAAATGATTCAACAGACAGAGCCAGAGCCTTGCTTTGCAGGGGGAGAGGCTCATTGATTCTTTGTTGTGAAAAGCCCTGCCTGAACTCCAAGAACAATCTGAACTGCCAGCTCTGAAGTATGCTCTGAAGTATGGGAGGATGCCAGAGAAGAGAAAGGGAACAAAAGAAGGAGAGAGGGAGGTTAGCAGCCAGAGCAGCGGCAACAGACAGACAGCTGATAAAAGTCAGCTCTCTGAATGCGTTTTCCACCCACAACTTTGTTTTCATCGCCCTGTCATCGTTTAAATGGATTTTGTTATTTTCAAAAAGTGTTGACAAAGTTATGCTCTCGGGAGCGGCGGGCGGCCGGGCGGCCGGGTGACGTGTCAAATAGCTCTGGTACGTGCCCCGTCACACAGAATAAGATGAAATAGAGAGAGGAAGTAGCATAAATAAAATGGGAACAAAGCGGTTGACAGCTCTGCTTTGTGTGTTGGCAGGAGGTACAGAAGTTTGTACAGCCAACCTTACTGCAGTATACACTGCACATACACTATAAGAGATCTTACTTATCCACTACCCTTGGAATTTCAGATAGAGAAACAGGAACAATGCATTTTTACTGTGTGCTGTGTTGACAGGTGGCACAGCCTCCAGAATGAAAGGCTTCCTGGGGTGTATCCGCTCGCTGCAGCTGAACGGGAGGACTCTGGACCTGGAGGAGAGGGCTAGGATCACGCCCGGGGTGAGGCCGGGCTGCCCGGGACACTGCAGCAGCTACGGGCAGCTGTGCCAGAACCAGGGGAGGTGCGTGGAGAGGTACAACGGCTTCTCCTGCGACTGTGGCCTCTCCGCCTACGCAGGCACCTTCTGCCAGAGAGGTAAATAGACCATGAGCATCACATCGACCTTTAAGCTCTGAGGTTCTGGTGATCATCTCATCAGCTATGTCAGAGGATGTGGCGTTCATGTTGATGCACTCAACACAACACCGGAGGACATATTCATATGTTATTACACTACAATCTATTCTAAACCATCTCCATATCGATGGTTACAGTATATAACAATATTAAACTAATAAGGTTTAGCCTACTGTTTTTAATTCCTTTATTGTAAGGCTAACAGATACGGTTATAGCTAAATTTTTTGTAGTCATAGTAGCTTCCTACCAAGGAGTGAACATTTAATTTAACCATTTTTTTGACAGGGAGTCAATGCTGAGACCAAGGTCTCTTTTCCAGATGTGCCCTGTATAGCACCACAATACACATCAAAATACAATAAACACGTTAAACTACACATTCATATGCACAACAAAATACACGTTATTATACACAACAATACACAAAAAGCAAAACACAATCATAAAAAACACACATTCTTCAATAAAAAGGTCCCGTAACAACTGTCTGAAATGCCCTAGAGGCACCAATTCCTTCCAGAACAGCCATTTAAAATGTTTTGCATATTAAACGATGACGATCAAAAGGTCAAGAATCCATATTATTTCAGAGGACCCTCTTAGCGAACTTGAGTTCAAACACGACTTCACATACACTTACCAGCGTTAGCTACATCAAGAGCCTAATAATATAGGAGGGTATTCTGTAAACCCTTTTGATGTCAGCAGGTCAACTGTATGACGCAGGCTGGCGGATTGGACGTGTTCAATAATTAATAAGAATGACTTGGACCACTTCCTGGTAGAACCATCAGCGGTCAGTAGCCATGGTGGCGGTGCTGACTGACACAGTAGATGCGGTAAAGAAGTAAACGGAACGCAGACGTTCCATTGACCAGATTGCCGCACATTCAATCAACAAATCTCTTCTAACAAAGTCGATATTCGTAAAATCCTTATCGATATTCGTAAAATCCAAGTCATTCTTATTGATTTATGTATTGTAACAGGCCCACAATGCGGTTACTTACACTACATAGCCAGAAGTATGTGGACACCTGCTCATCGAACATCTCATTCCAAAATCATGGCCATTAATCTGGAGTTGGTCCCCCCTTTGCTGCTATTACAGCCTCCACTCTTCTTGGAAGGCTTTCCACTAGATGTTAGAACATTGCTGTGGGGACTTGCTTCCATTCAGCTACTGATGTTGGGCGATTAGGCCTGGTTCAAAGTCGGCGTTCCAATTCATCCCAAAGGTGTTCGATGGGGTTGTGGTCAGGGGTTTGTGCAGGCCAGTCAAGTTCTTCCACGCCGATCTTCACAAACCATTTCTGTATGGACCTGCTTTGTGCACGGGTTCATTGTCATGCCGAAACAGGAAAGGGCCATCCCCAAACTGTTGCCACAAAGTTGGAAGCACAGAATTGTCTAGAATGTCATTGTATGCTGTAGCGTTAAGATTTCGTTTCACTGGAACTAAGGAGCCTGAACCATGAAATACTGTCCCAGGACATTATTCCTCCTCCACCAAACTTTACAGTTGGCACTATGCATTGTCTCCCGAGTGGTGCAGTGGTCTAAGGCACTGCATTGCAGTGCTAGCTGTGCCACTAGAGATCCTGGTTCGAATCCAGGCTCTGTCATAGCCGGCCGCGACCGGGAGACCCATGGGGCGGCGCACAATTGGCCCAGCGTTGTCCAGGGTAGGGGAGGGAATGGCCGGCAGGGATATAGCTTAGTTGGTAGAGCATGGCGTTTGCAACGCCAGGGTTGTGGGTTCAATTCCCATGTGGGGCCAGTATGAAAAAAATAATAAAAACAATGTATGCACTCACTAACTGTAAGTCGCTCTGGTTAAGAGCGTCAACTAAAATGTAAATGTAATGCATTGTGGCAGATAGTGTTCTCCTGGCATCCGCCAAACCCAGATTGGTCTGTCGGACTGCCAGATGGCGAAGCGCGATTCATCACTCCAGAGAACTCGTTTCCACTGCTCCAGAATCCAATGGCGGTGAGCTTTACACCACTCCATCCGACACTTGGCATTGCGCATAGTGATCTTAGGCTTGTGTGTGGCTGCTCGGCCATGGAAACCCATTTCATGAAGCTCCCGACGAACAATTATTGTGCTGACGTTGCTTCCAGAGGCAGTTTGGAACTCGGTAGTGAGTGTTGCAACCGAGGACAGACGATTTTTACGCACTACACGATTCAGCACTCGGCGGTCCCGTTCTGTGAGTTTGTGTGGCCGACCACTCCGCGGCTGAGCCGTTGTTGCTCCTAGACGTTTCCAATTCACAATAACAGCACTTACAGTTGACCTGGGCAGCTCTAGCAGGGCAGAAATCTGATGAACTGACTTGTTGGAAAGGTGGCGTCCTATGATGATGCCATGTTGAAAGTCACTGAGCTCTTCAGTAAGGGCCATTCTACTGCCAATGTTTGTTTATGGAGATTGCATGGCTGTGTGCTCGATTTCATACACCTGTCAGCAATGGGTGTGGCTGAACTAGCCGAATCCACTCATTTGAAGGGGTGTCCACACACTTTTAGCCATGTAGTGTAAGTCCGATTTGGATATATTTGGCTGTTTTTCGCTACATAGCATGTAGAAGTTGTCCCTTTTCCAGGTTTAGAAGAAGTGACTGCTGAATGCTAACACCCGTTCGTATAAACTGGTTAGCATAGCTAGCATACAGAAATCATTGATGGTAGTCAAAGTCGTTTTTAACTATAATTCAGTTGATTGGTAATGATGACATGAACATGTGTTGGGGTTGACATCCATGCAAGCATTATACTCTGATTTCTACCTAAACAGTGTGTGAAATACACATATAAACAAAGCCTAAATGTAAGCAGATTTTGCTGGGGGCAATTGGGAGATTAATGATCTTTCCCTCATGGCCCTTTCCCCAACACGTTTCGATGGCAATTCCAAATTTTGGGGTCGAGTTCCATTGACCTCTTTCACACAACACTTGAAGACTGTTCTTAATTAGTCTTCTTGTTATAGATGCTTTACTCCTCTTGTCAGTTAAAGAGGGTATAGTTATATTCCACAGTCTACCTCTTGTCAGTTAAAGAGGGTAATGTTCTGTAAGTAACAAGGTCATAATGGTGTTAATTATGTCAGTAAGGAGAACATTTTATATAAGAACAAAGGCGTAGGTTGTTAAGTAAATTGACGTTTTAAATACATGTTCAAAACTCTGCATTGGCATAATAATAGTTAACGCAAGGACAGAATGTTAAGAGTTTACAGAATCTTTGTAAGGAATACATAGCAAAGTGAAAGACTGTTCCATCACAATACCATTGATTGCTATTTGATTTGTTTTAGTAAGATCCCCATTAGCTGACACCAATGGCGGCAGCTAGTCTTACTGGGGTCCGACATATAACGAAAAAGACATTACAGAGGAAAGACTTTACAATTTACATACATTTTAAAACATTAACATGTAGTGTGTGTGTGCATCTATCAGTTACACATACATGTCAGTATATACACACAACAGGTAGGTCACATGGGGGAGAGGCTTTGTGCCGTGAGGTGTTGCTTTATTTGTTTTCAAAACCAGGTTTGCGGTTCACTTGCGCTATATAAGATGAATGGGGGTTCCATGCACTCATGGCTGTATAATACTGTACATTTCCTTTGAATTTGTTCTGGACCTGGATACTGTGAAAAGACCCCTGGTGGCATGTCTGGTGGGGTAAGTGTGTGTGTCAGTGCTGTGTGTAAGTTGACTACGCAAACCATTTGGAATTTCCAGCACATTAATGTTTCTTATGAAAACAAGTGACGCAGTCAGTCTTTCCTCAACTCTTAGCCAAGACAAACTGGCATGCATTGTATTAATATTAGCCCTCTGATTACAATGAAGAGCAAGACGTGCCGCTCTGTTCTGGGCCAGCTGCAGCTTAGCTAGGTCTTTCTTTGCAGCACTTGACCACACAGTATGACTGGACAAAACTCAAGATAAGACAAAACTAGAGACTGCAGGATTTGCTTTATGGAGTTTGGTGTCAAAAAAGCAGAGCGTCTCTTTATTACGGGCAGACCTCTCCCCATCTTTACAACCATTTAATCTATATGTTTTGACCATGGCAGTTTACAATCTAAGGTAACACCAAGTAATTTAGTCTCCTCAACTTGTTCAACCGCCACACCATTCATTACCAGATTCAGCTGAGGTCTAGAACTTAGGGGAGTGATTTGTACCAAATACAATGCTCTTAGTTTTATAGATGTTCAGGACCAGTTTGTTACTGGCCACCCATTCCAAAACAGACTGCACCTCTTTGTTAAGGGTTTCAGTGACTTCATTAGCTGTGGTTGTTGATGTGTATATAGTTGAATCATCAGCATACATGGACCCACATGCTTTGTTTAATGCCAGTGGCAGGTCATCGGTAAAAAAAGAAAAGGGTAGAGGGCCTAGAGAGCTTCCATGTGATACGCTACACTTTACATGTTTGACATTAGAGAAGCTTCCATTAAAGAAATCCCTCTGAGTTCTATTAGATATATAGCTCTGAATCCACGATATGGCAGAGGTTGAAAAGCCATAACACATATGTTTTCTCAAGGTTATGGTCAATAATATCAAAGGCTGCACTGAACTCTAACAGCTCCCACTATCTTATTATTATCAATTTCTTTCAACCAATCATTAGTCATTTGTGTCAGTGCAGTACATGTTGAGTGCCATTCTCTATAAGCATGCTGAAAGTCTGTTGTTAATTTGTTTACAGAGAAGTAGCATTGTATTTGGTAAAACACCATTTTTTCCAACAATTTGCTAAGAGCTGGCAGCAAGCTGATAGGTCTGCTGTTAGAACCAGTAAAGGCCGCTTTACCACTCTTGACTTTGGCTTCCCTCCAGGCCTGAGGACAAAGACTTTCCTCTAGGCTCAGATTAAAGATATGACAGATAGGATAGGCTATAGAGTCAGCTACCATCCTCCGTACCTTTCCATCTAAGTTGTCAATGCCAGGAGGTTTGTCATTATTGATCGGTACAAATATTTTTTCCACCTCTCCCACACTAACTTTACAAAATTCAAACTTGCAATGCTTTGCTTTCATTATTAGTTTTTTTATACATGAGTACAATCGCTCACTGTTCGTTGTTGGCATTTCCTGCCTAAGATTGCCCACTTTGCCAATGAAGTAATCATTAAAATAATTGGCAACATCAAATGGTTTTGTGATGAATAAGCCATCTGATTCAATGAAAGATGGAGTTGAATTTGTCTTTATGCCCATAATTTCATTTAAAGTACTCCAAAGTTTTTTTTACATCATTCTTTAGATCATTGATCTTGGCTTCATAATACAGTTTCTTCTTCTTTTTGTTGAGTTCAATCACATAATTTCTCCATTTGCATTAAGTCAGCCAGTCAGATGTGCAGCCAGACCTTTTAGCTTACTCCTTTTGGCCCGTCTCTTTCAACCATATAGTTTTTCAATTCCTCATCAATCCATGGAGCCTTAACAGTTATAACTGTCAGTTTCTTAACAGGTGCATGTTTATCAATAATTGGAAGAAGCAATTTCATAAATGTATCAAGTGCAGCATCTGGATGCTCCTCATTAATCACATCAGACCAACAAATATTTTTTAACATCATCCACATAAGAGTCACAGCAAAATATGTATATTTTAGGCCCAGCTATAGTTATAGTTATGGCCCAGCTATAGTTATAGTTATGGCCCAGCTATAGTTATAGTTATGGCCCAGCTATAGTTATAGTTATGGCCCAGCTATAGTTATAGTTATGGCCCAGCTATAGTTATAGTTATGGCCCAGCTATAGTTATAGTTATGGCCCAGCTATAGTTATAGTTATGGCCCAGCTATAGTTATAGTTATGGCCCAGCTATAGTTATAGTTATGGCCCAGCTATAGTTATAGTTATAGTTATGGCCCAGCTATAGTTATAGTTATGGCCCAGCTATAGTTATAGTTATGGCCCAGCTATAGTTATAGTTATGGCCCAGCTATATTTATAGTTATGGCCCAGCTATAGTTATAGTTATGGCCCAGCTATAGTTATAGTTATGGCCCAGCTATAGTTATAGTTATGGCCCAGCTATAGTTATAGTTATGGCCCAGCTATAGTTATAGTTATGGCCCAGCTATAGTTATAGTTATGGCCCAGCTATAGTTATAGTTATGGCCCAGCTATAGTTATAGTTATGGCCCAGCTATAGTTATAGTTATAGTTATGGCCCAGCTATAGTTATAGTTATGGCCCAGCTATAGTTATAGTTATGTCCCAGCTATAGTTATAGTTATGGCCCAGCTATAGTTATAGTTATGGCCCAGCTATAGTTATAGTTATGGCCCAGCTATAGTTATAGTTATGTCCCAGCTATAGTTATAGTTATGGCCCAGCTATAGTTATAGTTATGGCCCAGCTATAGTTATAGTTATGGCCCAGCTATAGTTATAGTTATGGCCCAGCTATAGTTATAGTTATGGCCCAGCTATAGTTATAGTTATGGCCCAGCTATAGTTATAGTTATGGCCCAGCTATAGTTATAGTTATGGCCCAGCTATAGTTATAGTTATGTCCCAGCTATAGTTATAGTTATGGCCCAGCTATAGTTATAGTTATGGCCCAGCTATAGTTATAGTTATAGTTATGGCCCAGCTATAGTTATAGTTATAGTTATGGCCCAGCTATAGTTATAGTTATGGCCCAGCTATAGTTATAGTTATGGCCCAGCTATAGTTATAGTTATGGCCCAGCTATAGTTATAGTTATGGCCCAGCTATAGTTATAGTTATGGCCCAGCTATAGTTATAGTTATAGTTATGGCCCAGCTATAGTTATAGTTATGGCCCAGCTATAGTTATAGTTATGGCCCAGCTATAGTTATAGTTATGGCCCAGCTATAGTTATAGTTATGGCCCAGCTATAGTTATAGTTATGGCCCAGCTATAGTTATAGTTATGGCCCAGCTATAGTTATAGTTATGGCCCAGCTATAGTTATAGTTATGGCCCAGCTATAGTTATAGTTATGGCCCAGCTATAGTTATAGTTATGGCCCAGCTATAGTTATAGTTATGGCCCAGCTATAGTTATAGTTATGGCCCAGCTATAGTTATAGTTATGGCCCAGCTATAGTTATTGTTATGGCCCAGCTATAGTTATAGTTATGGCCCAGCTATAGTTATAGTTATGGCCCAGCTATAGTTATAGTTATATTATATAAATATATATATTATTCTATATACAGAAACCATTGTTCCTCTCTTTTACTTCCCTGTCCTCCAGAGGTCTCGGCTGACTTCAAACCCGGGACATCGGTCCAGTACACATTCAAGGAGCCATATGAGCTGAACAGGAACACCAGCACCCAGTCGTCCTCCATCTACTCTGACCTCAAGCTACGGCGAGAGAACGTGTCATTCAGCTTCCGTAGCAGCCAGAGCCCAGCACTGCTCCTCTACGTCAGCTCATACTACAGAGAGTACCTGGCTGTGCTGCTCAACAGGAATGGTAAGAGGCGGAGAGATATAAAAATCCAACCTGTGATATTAGTTATGTCATATTACTAAATCTAGAAAGGTTATTGACAATGACTGTAAGTGAGAGAGAGAAGGGGGGGGGGGGGGGGGGGGGGGGGGGGGGGCGCATGGTTGGAAACAGCTGCTGAATTGAGCAGGTCCTAATCTCACTGCTAATTTTCCTCCACTAGCAGCTATACCAGATTCATTTGAATGGATTTAAGTCTCCATGTCCCTGTAGACACCAGTTGTTCTAAGAGAGCACAAGCAAGATATCTCAGTAAGAGTAAGAAAGTTCAAAATATGTATTTCTTGCTAGTAAATATAGTCAACATGTCTAAACACAAAGTGCCAGTTTATCAACTTGTCATGCCTCTTTTTGATTTGGATCTTTCTGTTTGTTTTCTGTGTTAGATGTTGTGATATTAATGAGGAGTGTTTGAATTTAAAATTAATAAATGATGCCTGGTAGCTAGGCTACTTCTAGTGACTCCAGCTACACAGTACATTCTGTTAGCTACAGCATGTTCAAAAAAGAACTGTAGAAGTTAAAGAAACTCAAAGTGTATTGGGTGTTTAAGAAGTTCGATATTCTCTACTGTATGGGACTTGCAGTAAGACTGCCTCTACATTACCATGTACTGTACTGCAGTAAAGGCTAGTGAGGGAGGGGACGGCTCATTTCATTCCAGCCATTAATATGAGCCGGCCTCCCCTCACCAGCCTCCACTGCTGTGCTGTATGTCTAACGAATATGCAAATTTAGAAAGGTTGGTTCTGAGAATGATTTCTTAATGGTCCTGAGACGTGTGATGGACTGCCAAGTGCACTACTGTACAGTGTACAGTGTCACCATAGCGATCAAGTCATCCAGTTAGTTACCGCACTTCTTCCTGAACGATCGTTCAATTAGAGCTCAGGGAGCGGTTATTCTCGGAAACCCTGGATGGCTTCTTCTCTGAGCGGTCGGCGACGCCCCTCTGGCAGACAGACTACACTCTGCCCATGTCAATGTGTGACAGTAATTGTGGCCTATCTAATGTGATGGCCCTCTACTTGAATATAGGAATGGGCCCTCTCCACTTATATAACAGTTGTTTCTTTTTCCTATGGCACAAATCATGAAATGTCTCAAATACTCCTGCCCTTACAGTGCCTCAGTAATTGTAGACTTTCTGATATGACGGCCCTCTGCTTTAATCGGAGAATGGGCCCTCTCCCTCATTTATAAAATAGTTGTTTAATTTGTCCTATGGCGCAAATCATTTTAATGTCTATTTAACAGTCTTACCCTCTCAAAGATTATTTTCTTTCCACTGGATGTGTGTAATTAATTCATGTTTAATCTACACTGAACAAACATATAAATGCAACATGCAACAATGTCAATGATTTTTTTGAGTTACAGTTCATATAAGGAAATCAGTCAATTGAAATACATTCATTAGGCCCTAATCTATGGATTTCACATGACTGGGAATACAGCTATGCATCTGTTGGTCACAGATACCTTTTTTAAAAAAGGTAAGGGCGTGGATCAGAAAACCAGTCAGTATCTGGTGTGACCACCATTTGCCTCATGCAGCGCAACACATCTCCTTCACATAGAGTTGATCAGGCTGTTGATTGTTGCCTGTGGAATGTTGTCCCACTCCTCTTCAATGGCTGTGCAAAGTTGCTGGATATTGGCGGGAACTGGAACATGCTGTCGTACACGTCGATCCAGAGCATCCCAAACATGCTCAATGGGTGACATGTCTGGTGACTGTGCAGGCCATGAAAGAACTGGGACATTTTCAACTTCCAGGAATTGTGTACAGATCCTTGCGACATGGGGCCGTGCATTATCATGCTGAAACATGAGGTGATGCGGCGGATGAATGGCACGACAATGGGCCTCAGGATCTCATCACGGTATCAATGTGCATTCAAATTGCCATTGATAAAATACAATTGTGTTTGTTGTCTGTAGCTTATGCCAGCCAATACCATAACCGACCACCACTATGGGGCAATCTGTTAACAACATCAGCAAACCGCTCTGCCATCTGCTCGGTACAGTTGAAACCGGGATTCATCCGTGAAGAGCACACTTCTCCAGTATGCCGGTGGCCATCGAAGGTGAGCATTTGACCACTGAATTCAGTTAAGACGGCGAACTGCAGTCAGGTCAAGACCCTGGTGAGGACGACGAGCACGCGGATGAGCTTCCCTGAGATGGTTTCTGACAGTTCGTGCAGAAATTCTTCAGTCTTTCAAACCCACAGTTTCATCAGCTGTCCGGGTAGCTGGTCTCAGACGATCCCGCAGGTGAAGAAGCCAGATGTGGAGGTCCTGGGCTGGTATGGTTACATGTGGTCTGCGGTTGGGAGGCCGGTTTGACGTACTGCCAAATTCTCTAAAACGACATTGGTAGAGACTTATGGTAGAGAACTTAACATTAAATTATCTGGCAACAGCTCTGGTGGACATTCCTGCAGTCAGCATGCCAATTGCACGCTCCCTCAAAACTTGAGACATATGTGGCATTGTGTTGTGTGACAAAACATTTTAGAGTGGCCTTTTATTGTCCCCAGCACAAGGTGCACCTGTGTAATGACCATGCTGTTTAATCAGCTTCTTGATATGCCACACCTGTCAGGTGGATGGATTATCTTGGCAAAGGAGAAATGCTCACTAACAGGGATGTAAACAAATATGTGCACAAAATATAAGGGAAATAAGCTTTCTGTGCATATGGAACATTTCTGGGTCTTTTATTTCAGCTCATGAAACATGATACCAACACTTTACATGTTGCGTTTATATTTTTGTTCAGTATGATATTTGTACCCCCAATCCCTCCATGAAGATTTGTAATTATGTTATTGTAATAATCATGAAGGGCTTTCATGTTGGCTTAAAGATTTTTAAAAAATGGCACCTTTGTATGAAGTGATCATTTGTGTGCAGCAGCATCAGTGAGAATGTGTTTTTTTAAGCGATGTAATACATTTCCAATTTGTCCATTCATCTGAATGTGAATGATTATTTAGGTGCTGACTGACAATACAAACACAACAGTGCATTACTCAGAGCCCCTCAGATAATTAATTCCCTGAAAATTAATTTGATTTATTATCTCTGTTATTGATAGGGAATTAGAGATTAATCCGCTCAGTACAGGGTTTACAAAACTCGGTCCTGGGGACCCCAAGGGGTGCACATTTTGGTTTTTGCCCTAGCACAAACATTTCTGTTGATTATTATCCACATAATAATTAACATATCCTGTTGCTGCAGGATTATTTTCCTGCTGTAGCAAATTGGCTCAAATTAAGATCCTACATCTGTAAAGCTGTAAAAAATGATATATATATTTGTTGGGTACATCATGAATGCTGCACACATGGTAGTGAGATTGTTCAGTGGCTGTCTGCATTTAAACGATAGTGATATTGTTACATGTCTGTCACTGTCTGCATTTAAATGGTGTTGATTATTGTTAATGTTTCATCTCTATGGGAGTTTCAGATTAACCGTAGTCCTGTACTAAAAGGGTCTTTCGATGGAGAATATCATTTGAGAATGCTTTTCAGTCCAGGAGTCTGTTTAATCTGTTTCTGGACAACTGCCCCAGAATGTCTCTGAAAGTTAGTTGGTATTAAAGTTGTCTCTATATCTCTCAAAGGTTACCTGGATGTTAAATACAAGCTGCAGAACAGTAGAGATGCTGAGGTGTTCAGGACCAGCGTTAGGAACCTGGCCAACGGACAACTTCACAGAGTCTCCATCAGGAGGCTTTCAGAGACTGTCAGTATTCAGGTAACTTATTCTGTCAGTGTTCGGGTAACTTATTCTCTCACCGTTCAGGTAACTTATTCTGTCAGTGTTCGGGTAACTTATTCTCTCACCGTTCAGGTAACTTATTCTCTCACCTTTCAGGTAACTTATTCTGTCACTGTTCAGGTAACTTATTCTCTCACCGTTCAAGTAACTTATTCTCTCAACGTTCAGGTAACTTATTCTCTCACCGTTCAGGTAACTTATTCTGTCACTGTTCAGGTAACTTATTCTGTCACCATTCAGGTCAATTATTCTGTCACCGTTCAGGTAACTTATTCTGTCACCATTCAGGTCAATTATTCTGTCACCGTTCAGGTAACTCATTCTGTCACTGTTCAGGTAACTTATTCTGTCACCATTCAGGTAATTTATTCTGTCACCATTCAGGTCAATTATTCTGTCACCCTTCAGGTAACTTATTCTGTCACCGTTCAGGTAACTTATTCTGTCACCGTTCAGGTAACTTATTCTGTCACTATTCAGGTAACTTATTCTCATTCAAAATAAAGTAATGTTCAGCAGTTACCTTGGTGCAGTGGATCTCTTCCTTGGGCACTAGTACCCCTGGGTGTACCTGGTCTATCCACAAGGGGTACTTGGGAAGATTAATAAAAACATAGGCCTAATGATTGGTTGCACATGAGGAGGTACTGCAGGCAGAGAAAAATGTAATTGGGTGTAGCGTAACCTAAAAAGATTGAGAATCACTGCCTTGAATGTCAGCAAGGGGCATTTAAAGACAAGTAGGCCTATATGTAATGTAGCTAACCTGCTGAGCTGTGAATGTAAGTGTATACATGTTAGCAGTGTGGGATCTGTATCATGGTGAGTAAAAGTAATTCAAAAGGAAAATAACATTACCCCCAACAGATTTAAATAAACTGTGAGATGTGATACCACTCGAGGATAGTGGATCAAGAGTGATGCAGGTTTTTTCTATAGTGCAGTTCTACCTCTTGGGACTGTATCTATCATGGAGTCCAAGTTCTTTGCTAACCTCACAGGAGGAGCCAACCCTACAGATGTAAGATCTTAATTTTAGCCAATTTGCTACATCAGGGAAATAATCCTACAGCAACAGGAAATTATTATTCGGATTATAATTAATATTCATTGATGACAAACTTCAGAAGCCTTTTTAAACCTCAAATGCACTACACGTTTTTCCTGCATTCCAGGAAAGTTCTCCTGCAACATGGTGATCAAATTAAGATCCTACATCTGTATCTATCATCAAGTCCATGCCCTTTGTCAACCTCACAGCAGGACACAAACCCAGGCCTTGCTCCAGAGCTGTACTTATTCAGAATGCATTCCAACTTTCAGCCATTAAGTAGGCACACTCATTCACAATTCAGAGACATTTCAGGCAACATGAATGATTCTAAAGAATAGAAGGACTAGGATAGCAGAGAATAGTAGAGAGAAATCAATAGAAGTTTAAGCGTAATGGATTGAAATCTGTGAGGAGACTGGCAGACGTTTGAACACACATACATTTCAAGAATTGTAACAACAAAGTTGGTCGACATTCTACTTCTCAGCCATTCTTCGACAGACACATTTGGAAAGCAAGTTGCGTTTTTTTACCAAATATAGTAAAAACTATTATTTAGATCATTCTGAATTCCTGTTCAGCATTGCCCTGATGTGATCTGAACCTGCCACTCTAGTTAACATGATATTAACCCCACCACATCACCCATAGCTATTTTTTATTACAGTGTAATGTTCTTAAGTGCTCTGCAATACAAATTCAAAGTCATGGCTTGCTGGGTATTTGCTGAAGCAATCCAGGTAAAGTGTTTTTCGCCAGGGATCAACCTGTATTAACCCTTCTTTGAGGATTTGAACTACAGTACAGCAACCCAACTGTAACGGCAAGGCCATACAAACGCCCATATTTAGACACGCCCAATATGTTGGACTATTGTAATGCACTACCCTTCCATAGTAATCTATAATGGACACACATAAGTGTTTACTTCCGATCACCCAACATGTGGGCGGCTTCCCAGACCTGTCCGGCCCTGCGGAACCATTCGTTGACAGCGGGCGTGTCGGTCTGGCTGGGTGTCCAAGGGGCCAGGGCCAGCTGGTACCCCAGGACACATTGGAAGGGAGTGAGCCTCGTGGAGGAGTGAATGAGGGTCCACCTGCCCGTTCATGCGCTCCACCTGCCCATTCAACTGAGGCCTATACCCGGAAGTGAGGCTGGCCATGGCCCCAATCTTCTCCAGGAAAGCCTTCCACACTCAGGAGGTGAATTGGACGCCACGGTCCAAGACGATGTCCTCCGGAAGTTCATAATGCCGGAAGACCTGTTGGAACAGGACCTCAGCGACCTGGAGAGCAGAAGGAAGACCAGTTAGTGGCAAAAAATGGCATGATTTGGAGAACCGTTCTACGACCACCAGGACTGTGGTGAAGCTGTCAGAATGTGGGAGGTCGGTGACAAAGTCTATGGACAGGTGTGACCAAGGTCGCTGAGGCACTGGGAGAGGAACTAGTTTGCCTGCCGTGGTGTCTTTGTTTGGGCACATACGGAACAGGAGTTGATATAACGGGAGACATCAGTAGCCAAGGTGGGCCACCAGTATTTTTGTGAGAGAGAATGTAGGGTGTGCGTCATACTGGAGTGTCCTGCCGTAAGGGTGGTGTGATCAGCAGGTGGTCACGAACCATGGTGGGTACATACACGCGGCAAGCGCTGGGTCCTCCTGAACCGCCAGGCGGATGTCTTCGTCCACATCCCAAACGACAGCTGCCACGATGAGAGACGGAGGCAGGATAGGACCCCCAAGATCCTTCCTTTCTCCGGTATGGTGCAACCTGGAGAGTGCGTCGGCTTTCACATTCTGGGATCCTGGGCGGTAGGACAGAATAAACAGAAAGCGAGTAAGAAATTGGGCCCACCTGGCTTGATGAGAGTTCATCCGTTTCGCTGCCCGTATGTGCTCCAAATTCCGGTGGTCAATGAGAATCCGGAATGGATGGACTGCGCCCTCCAGCCAGTGTCTCCATTCCTCCAGAGCGAGGACCACCGCCAACAGCTCCCTGTCTCCAACTCCATAGTTCCTCTCTGCGGGGGTAAGCTTTTTAGAGAAAAAGGCACAGGGATACATTTTCTCTGGCTTACCTTGCCGCTGGGAGAGGACCCCACCCATGCCCTCCTCAGATGCGTCCACCTCCAGGATGAAAGGACGAGCTGGATCTGGGTGTTTTAGAAGGAGCGCTGTGGTAAACCTCTCCTTCAGCCTCTTGAAGGCAGCTTCAGCTTCAGGGTTCCAGGCCAGCTTCTGAGGCCCCCCCCCCCCCTTAAGGAGAGAGGTGAGCGGGGCGGCTATGGAGCTGAAGGACCTGATGAAACGCCGGTAGAAATTTGCGAAGCCCAGGAAGCTCTGTTGGCCCTTGATGGTGAAGATGACTGGCCATGACCTGACGGCATCCATCTTCGCTCTTTCCATGAACACCCCCTGAGGACAGATCCTGTATCCCAGGAAGGAGATGGCCTGTTGGTGGAATTCGCATTTCTCCCCCTTCACCAACAGGCTGTGTTCCCGGAGGCGGAGTAGGACCGCTCTGATGTGCTCCATGAATGTAGCCGAGTAGATCAGGATATCGTCGTTGTACACCACCACCGGTCTACTCAGCATGTCTCAGAACACGTCATTGACGAAGGACTGGAACACAGAAGGTGCGTTGGCAAGGCCATAGGGCATGACGCAGTATTCATAGTGGCCTGAATTCCGTCTTCCACTCGTCTCCTTCCCGGATTCGGATCAGGTTGTAGGGCACTCCACAGGTCCAACTTGGTAAAGTACCGGGCCCCTCACAGCTGCTCGATGGCCGACGGAACCAGAGGGAGGGGGTACCGGTACTTGATGGTGACTGCGTTCAGCCCCCGGTAGTCAATGCACGGCCTCAGTCCTCCGTCTTTTTTGTGCCGGAGGCAGGAGAGGTAGAGCGTCTGATGAACCCCTGTTTCAGGGTCTCTGTCACATACTTCTCCATTGCCTCAGTCTCCGCTATGGAGAGGGAGTAAATGAGACTCGTCAGGGGGGTGTTGTCCTTCCAGCAGGTCCCAGGGCCTGTGAAGAGGGAGACACTTAGCCTTGGAGGCAGAGAAGACATCGGAGAGATCTGCGTACTCACGTGGAATGTTGGGCTGGAGGGCGCACTCCGGACTCTCTGCTGACGTGGAACAACAAACCACCGGCAGGCAGGTCTGGCATGAGGGGGACCAGGCTGTGATCCTCTTGGTGATCCAATTGATGGTGGGGTTGTGTAGTCTGAGCCAAGGCAATCCCAAGACGATCCGGTGAAGGGGTCAAGTGACTATGTGGAAGGACAGCTCCTCGTGGTGCTCCGGTAGTGTGGGAATGGTGATGGTGATGGGGAGAGTGACGTGCGTAATGGACCCTGATCCAAGTGGTTTATTGTCCAGCGAGGTGACGTGTAGCGGAGAAGGCAGTGGCACGGTGGGAAACCCCCATTCAGGGACCAGCTCCCTATCTATAAGGTTCCCCGCTGATCCGGAATCTATCGCGGAAGGCGAAGAGAAGGAAGAACCATTCACCATTAGGGGAACTAAAAACAATGGTTTGGTGACAGGTGATGACGGAACACTCACGGAGCGGCGACGGGAGTCATACCGCCTAGATAGGGAGCCGCCAGGAGATCTGTGGTCCGTGGTGGTGTAGGGGGTGCTGCCCACCTCAATGGGTGAGGACTCAGGGCAGCTTTCATAGCTCAGATGGGGTGAGAGATCGGTCTCTCAACATGTCGTCAAGACGAATGGACGTGGCAATGAGGGTATCAAGGTCCATCTCATCGTCACAACATGCGAGTTCCGTTGTGATGTCTTCCCGTAAGCCTCGCCTGAAGGCCGTGTGCGCAGAGCACGCTCATTCCAGCCAGAAGACGCTGCCACCGTGCAAAAGCTCAGAGCGTACTCAAACGCGGCCCCCTCTCCCTATTGTAGCCGAAGGAGACGCTCACCCACATCCTTTCCTTCCGTGGGATGATCGAACACCACCCTGAACGAGCGAGGAAGGTGGAATAGGGAAGTGCCGCGGTCTCACCTCCTTTCCAGACTGCCGTGGCCCAATCCAGCGCCTTTCCCTTCAGTAGCGAAATCACCAGCGCTATCCTAGCTTGGTCCAATGGAGATGCCCCACGCTGACGCGCCAGATACAGTGAAACCTGTAGCAGGAAGCCTCTACATTTCGTTGTTTTCCCGTCAAAGCGCTCCGGCAGGGCGAGGGGTCCCTCAGACGTTGGTGATAGCATGGGAGGAGGTGGACTGGGTGCACCCGCCGCTCCCTGAGGTGGAACCGGAGCGATGGTCAGTTTATGCAGCGTTAGGAGCACTTCCTGCATGGCGGCGTTCAGCTGGGCAATCTGCTGCTGGTGCTGGTCGAGGCCCTGCTGCATCCATCTTCGTGATTGGTGTGTGATTCTGTGACGAGAACTGAGGATACGAAGAGGCAGGACACAGACGCAGGAATCAACAATGTAAAGGTTTACTTAACACTGAGCAAGAGAACAACAAAGACACGACAAGACACTAACAATCACACACAACACAACCCTGAACAGTCCAGGGCTATATAGGGGTGGTGATGAGATGATGAGGTGCGGGTGCTCTGGAGGTAATTAGGGTGCGTTGGGTTTCCATTCCGGTGTTGCCGAGGTGGTGCACTCAGAACGGTGGCTCAGTAGACCGACGAATCAGAGCGCCGGAGGGGAGCAACGGGAGGAGACGTGACAATTATATCTTAGTGTTGGAGTGTGCCCCTGGCTGTCCGTAAATAAATAAAAAATAATTGTGCTGTCTAGTTTGCTTAATATAAGGAATTTGATATATAACATTTACTTTTTAAATGTGTTGCTGGAGTCCGGCATGCTAGCTGGCTGTGGCGTCATATGACTTGATGCCCGGACGATTTTCACGGAATAATACTGCACCTAGTTAGCTAGCTGAATAAACTGAGTTAGTCTATTCCTAGAAACATTGAACCGCTGTAGTTTACAACAATTATAGTTTCTGAGGTGGAAGTTGGGAGAGTTATATTTGGGAGTTGTGCTGAGGGAGGCCCCGCTCTCTCCTTTCCCAGATGTTTAGTTCATTTCATTCCGATCTCCTCTGCATTATTGTAGCCATTTGCTGCAGCCTGTCAACGATGCCTCTGCCTATCCCTGTTCTCTCCTCTCCGCACAGGCTACACAAACGCCTCACACCGCGTGGCTGCTGCCTCTCTAACCTGGTGGTCCCTGCACGCACCACCACCTGGAGTTCCAGGTCTCAGGCAGCCTCTGGAACTGCCGTTCTGCTGCCAACAAGGCAGACTTCATCCCAGCCTATGCTACCCTCCAGTCCCTCGACTTCTTGGCGCTGACGGAAACATGGATTACCAATGAAAACACTGCTACTCCTACTGCTCTCTCCTCGTCTGACCATGTGTTCTCGCATACCCCGAGAGCATCTGGTCAGCGGGGTGGTGGCACAGGAATCCTCATCTCTCCCAAGTGGACATTCTCAATTTTTCCCCTAAGCCATCTGTCTATCTCCTCATTTGAATTCCATGCTGTCACAGTCACTAGCCCATTTAAGCTTAATATCCTTGTCATCTATCGCCCTCCAGGTTCCCTTGGAGAGTTCATCAATGAGCTTGACGCCTTGATAAGTTCCTTTCCTGAGGATGGCTCACCCCTCACAGTTCTGGGGGATTTCAACCTCCCTACGTCTACATTTGACTCATTTCTCTCTGCCTCCTTCTTTCCACTCCTCTCCTCTTTTGACCTCACCCTCTCACCGTCCCCCCCTACTCACAAGGCAGGCAATACGCTTGACCTCATCTTTACTAGATGCTGTTCTTCTACTAATCTCACTGCAACTCCCCTCCATGTCTCCGACCACTACTTTGTATCCTTTTCTCTCTCGCTCTCCTCCAACACTACTCACTCTGCCCCTACACAGATGGTAATGCGCCGTCGCAACCTTCGCTCTCTCTCTCCCGCTACTCTCTCCTCTTCCATCCTATCATCTCTTCCCTCTGCTCAAGCCTTCTCCCTCCAATCTCCTGATTCTGCCTCCTCAACCCTCCTCTCCTCCCTTTCTGCATCCTTTGACTCTCAATGTCCCCTATCCTCCCGGCCGGCTCGGTCCTCCCCTCCAGCTCCGTGGCTTGATGACTCATTGCGAGCTCACAGAACAGAGCTCCGGGCAGCTGAGCGGAAATGGAAGAAAACTAGACTCCCTGCGGACCTGGCATCTTTTCACTCCCTCCTCTCTACATTTTCTTCATCTGTTTCTGCTGCTAAGGCCACTTTCTACCACGCTAAATTCCAAGCATCTGCCTCTAACCCTAGGAAGCTCTTTGCCACATTCTCCTCCCTGCTGAATCCTCCCCCCCCCCCCTCCCCCCTCTCTGTGGATGACTTCGTCAACCACTTTGAAAAGAAGGTTGACGACATCCGATCCTCGTTTGTTAAGTCAAATGACACTGCTGGTCCTGCTCACACTGCCCTACCCTATGCTTTGACTTCTTTCTCCCCTCTCTCTCCAGATAAAATCCTGCGACTTGTGACTGCAGGCCGCCCAACAACCTGCCCTTGACCCTTCCCCTCCTCTCTTCTCCAGACCATCTCCGGTGACCTTCTCCCCTACCTCACCTCGCTGATCAACTCATCCTTGACCGCTGGCTATGTCCCTTCCGTCTTCAAGAGAGCGAGAGTTGCACCCCTTCTCAAAAAACCAACACTCGATCCCTCTGATGTCAACAACTACAGACCAGTATCCCTTCTTTCTTTTCTCTCCAAAACTATTGAGCGTGCCGTCTTTAGCCAACTCTCTTTCTATCTCTCTCAGAATGACCTTCTTGATCCAAACCAGTCAGGTTTCAAGACTGGTCATTCAACTGAGACTGCTCTTCTCTGTGTCACGGAGGCTCTCCGCACTGCTAAAGCTAACTCTCTCTCCTCTGCTCTTGTCCTTCTAGACCTGTCTGCTGCCTTTGATACTGTGAACCATCAGATCCTCCTCTCCACCCTCTCCGAGCTGGGCATCTCCGGCGCGGCTCACTCTTGGATTGCGTCCTACCTGACCTGTCGCTCCTACCAAGTGGCGTGGCGAGAAGCTGTCTCCACACCACGTGCTCTCACCACTGGTGTCCCCCAGGGCTCAGTTCTAGGCCCTCTCCTATTCTCGCTATACACCAAGTCACTTGGCTCTGTCATATCCTCACATGGCCTCTCCTATCATTGCTACGCTGGCAACACACAACTAATCTTCTCCTTTCCCCCTTCTGATAACCAGGTGGCGAATCGCATCTCTGCATGTCTGGCAGACATATCAGTATGGATGACGGATCACCACCTCAAGCTGAACCTTGGCAAGACGGAGCTGCTCTTCCTCCCGGGGAAGGACTGCCTGTTCCATGATCTCGCCATCACGGTTGACAACTCCGTTGTGTCCTCCTCCCAGAGTACGAAGAGCCTTGGCGTGACCCTGGACAACACCCTGTCGTTCTCCGCTAACATCAAGGCGGTGACCCGATCCTGTAGGTTCATGCTCTACAACATTCGGAGAGTACGACCCTGCCTTACACAGGAAGCGGCACAGGTCCTAATCCAGGCACTTGTCATCTCCCGTCTGGATTACTGCAACTCGCTGTTGGCTGGGCTCCCTGCCTGTGCCATTAAACCCCTACAACTCATCCAGAATGCCGCAGCCCGTCTGGTGTTCAACCTTCCCAAGTTCTCTCACGTCACCCCCCTCCTCCGCACACTCCACTGGCTTCCAGTTGAAGCTCGCATCTGTTACAAGACCATGGTGCTTGCCTATGGAGCTGTGAGGGGAACGGCACCTCCGTACCTTCAGGCTCTGATCAGTCCCTACACCCAAACTGTCACGGTTTCGGCCGAGGCTGCTCCTTCTCCTTGTTCGGGCAGGCTTCGGCGGTCGTCGTCTCCGGAGTACTACCTGCCACCGTTCGTTGTTTCTGTGTTTGTTTGGTTTGGTCTGTTTTGGTACACCTGTTTCTCATTTTGTCTTGATTATGTGTCCTTTAAGTTCTCGTTGTTTCTGTCTTGTGGTTGTGTGTAGTTGTTCCTTGTCAGCTGATGCTTCCAGTCAGTTAGTGCTCTATTTTGATTTGGATAGAGAGTCCGCACTTGTTGTGCGTGTTTGCTGTGTTTTGCATTTATTACGCTGTGTGCGTAATTTTTCTCGTGCCTCCGGCTCTGTTTATAGCCGTTCATTCTGTGGACTTTACTAAAGTATTTTTGGACTAGCATCTGTGTCCTGCATCTGATTCCTACACCACACCTACGCCCGCTCTGACACAAACGAGGGCATTGCGTTCATCCACCTCTGGCCTGCTGGCTCCCCTTCCTCTGCGGAAGCATAGTTCCCGCTCAGCCCAGTCAAAACTGTTCGCTGCTCTGGCACCCCAATGGTGGAACAAGCTCCCTCACGACGCCAGGACAGCGGAGTCACTCACCACCTTCCGGAGACATTTGAAACCCCACCTCTTTAAGGAATACCTGGGATAGGATAAAGTAATCCTTCTACCCCTCCCTTACCCCATACCCCCCCACCCCCCCCCCCCCCCCCCCCCCCCAAAAAAAATAAATAAAAAAAAAATACACATTGTAAAGTGGTTATCCCACTGGCTATAAGGTGGATGCACCAATTTGTAAGTCGCTCTGGATAAGAGCGTCTGCTAAATGACGTAAATGTAATATGGAATAAACAAAACGTACAGTCAATAACACAATAGAAAATCTATATACAGTGTATGCAAATGTCGTAAGTTATGGAGGTAAGGCAATAAATAGGCTATAGTGCAAAATAATTACAATTTAGTATTAACACTTGAGTGATAGATGTGCATAAGATGATGTGCAAATAGAGATACTGGGGTGCAAATGAGCAAAATAAATAACAATGTAAATAACAATATGGGGATGAGGTAGTTGGGTGGGCTAATTACAGATGGGCTGTGTACAGGTGCAGTGATCGGTAAGCTGCTCTGACAACTGATGCTTAAAGTTAGTGAGCGAGATAAGTGTCTCCAGCTTCATAGATTTTTGCAGTTTGTTCCAGTCATTTTCAGCAGAAAACTGGAAGGAATGACGGCCAAAGGAGGTGTTGGCTTTGGGGATGACCAGTGAGATATACCTGCTGGAGCGCATACTACGGGTGGGTGTTGCTATGGTGACCAATGATCTAAGATAAGGCGGGGATTTGCCTAGAAGTGATTTATAGATGACCTGGAGCCAGTGGGTTTGGCGACGAATAAGTAGTGAGGGCCAGCCAACGAGTGCGTACAGGTCACAATGGTGGGTAGTATATGGGGCTTTGGTGACAAAATGGATGGCACTGTGATAGACTACATCCAATTTGCTGAGTAGAGTGTTGGAAGCTATTTTGTAAATGACATCGCCGAAGTCAAGGATCGGTAGGATAGTCAGTTTTACGAGGGCATGTTTAGCAGCATGAGTGAAGGAGGCTTTGTTGCGAAATAGTAAGCCTATTCTAGATCTAACTTTGGATTGGAGATGCTTAATGTGAGTCTGGAACTAGAGTTTATGGTCTAACCAGACACCTAGGTATTTGTAGTTGTTCACATATTCTAAGGCAGACCCGCCGAGAGTAGTGATTCTAGTTGGGCAGGCTGGTGCCAGCAGCGTTCGATTGAAGAGCATGCATTTAGTTTTACTAGCGTTTAAGAGCAGTTGGAGGCCACGGAAGGAGTGTTGTATGGCATTGAAGCTTGTTTGGAGGTTTGTTAACACAGTGTCCAATGAAGGGCCAGATGTATATAAAATGGTGTCGTCTGCATAGAGGTGGATCTGAGAGTCACCAGCAGCAAGAGCGATATCATTGATATACACAGAGAATAGAGTCAGCCCGAGAACTGAACCCTGTGGCACCCCCATAGAGACTGCCAGAGGTCCAGACAACAGGCCCTCTGATTTGACACATTGAACTCTATCTGAGAAGTAGTTGGTGAACCAGGCGAGGCAGTCATTTGAGAAACCAAGGCTATTTAGTCTGCCAATAAGAATGCGGTGATTGACAGAGTCAAAAGCCTTGGCCAGGTCGATGAAGACGGCTGCACAGTACTGTCTTTTATCGATCGCGGTTATTATATCGTTTAGGAACTTGAGCGTGGCTGAGGTGCACCCGTGAACAGCTCGGAAACCAGTTTTCATAGCGGAGAAGGTACGGTGGGATTCGAAATGGTCGGTGATCTGTTTGTTAACTTGGCTTTCAAATACTTTCGAAAGGCAGGGCAGGATGAATATAGGTCTGTAACAGTTTGGATCTAGAGTGTCACCCCCTTTGAAGAGGGGGATGACTGCGGCAGCTTTCCAATCTCTGGGGATCTCAGATGATACGAAAGAGAGGTTGAACAGGCTAGTAATAGGGGTTGCGACAATTTCTGCGGCTAATTTGAGAAAGAAAGTGTCCAGATTGTCTAGCCCATCTGATTTGTAGGGGTCCAGATTAAGCAGCTCTTTCAGGACATCAGCTATCTGAATTTGGGTGAAGGAGAAGCGGGGGGGCATGGGCAAGTTGCAGCGGAGGGTGCAGAGCTGGTGGCCAGGGTAGGGGTAGGCAGGTAGAAAGCATGGCCAGCTGTAGCAAAATGCTTTTTGAAATTCTCGATTATCGTAGATTTATCGGTGGTGACAGTGTTTCCTAGCCTCAAAAGGAAAAGTTGCATATCGCGGGGGCTATTTGATGCTAATGCAGTACGCCACAGGATGTTTTTGTGCTGGTCAAGGGCAGTCAAGTCTAAGGAGAACCAGGGGCTATATCTGTTCTTAGTTCTGAATTTTTTGAATGGGGCATGCTTATTTAAGATGGAGAGGAAAGCACTTTTGAAGAACATCCAGGCATCCTCTACTGACGGAATGAGGTCAATATCCATCCAGGACACCCGGGCCAGGTCAATTAGAAAGGCCTGCTCGCTGAAGTGTTTTAGGGAGCGTTTGACAGTGATGAGGGGTGGTCGTTTGACCGCGGACCCATTACGGATGCAGGCAATGAGGCAGTGATCGCTGAGATCCTGGTTGAAGACAGCGGAGGTGTATTTAGAGGGTAAATTAGTCAGGATGATATCTATGAGGGTGCCCATGTTTACGGATTTAGGGTTGTACCTGGTAGGTTCCTTGATAATTTGTGTGAGATTGAGGGCATGTAGTTTAGATTGTAGGACGGCCGGGGTGTTAAGCATATCCCAGTTTAGGTCACCAAGCAGTACGAACTCTGAGGATAGATGGGGGGCAAGCAATTCACATATGGTGTCCAGGGCACAACTGGGGTCTGAGGGGGGTCTGTAGCAAGTGGCAACAGTAAGAGACTTATTTCTGGAAAGGTGCAACTCCGACCCCTTTGGCAGTTCTATCTAGACGGAAAATGTTGTAGTTCGGAATGGACATTTCTGAATTTTTGGTGGCCTTCCTAAGCCAAGATTCAGACACTGCTAGAACATCAGGGTTGGCAGAGTGTGCTAAAGCAGTGAATAACTCAAACTTGGGGAGGAGACTTCTGATGTTAACATGCAAGAAACCAAGGCTTTTACGGTTACAGAAGTCAACAAATGATAGCGCCTGGGGGGTAGGAGTGATACTGGGGGCTACAGGGCCTGGGTTAATCTCTACATCACCAGAGGAACAGAGGAGGAATAGAATAAGTATACAGCTAAAGGCTTTATGAACTGGTCTTCCAGTGCGTTGGGTACAGAGAATAAAAGGGGCAGATTTCTGGGCGTTGTAGAATAGATTCAGGGCATTATGTACAGACAAGGATATGGAAGGATATGAGTACAGTGGAGGTACACCTAAGCATTGGGTAACTATGAAAGAGATAGCATCACTGGAGGTACCGATTGAGCCGGTCTCCGCGTGTATGGGGGTGGGACATATCTTTACTTTTACTAAAGTATGACAATTTAGTACCTTTTCCACCACTGCGCACACTTTTTTTTATAGACTAACGGAGTGTAAACTATAAAAAGAAAGAAAGAAAGTTGCACATTCTAATTATGCTCCCAAACGTTTAATGGACATTCAGTCTGACTAGTTTGACTAGTCAACAAACAATCCATTTTGTAAAGCTGCTGTTTGGCAAGTCCCAGCAAAACTGCATCAATTAGTGTAAGCTTGGGTAGTAATCACATTTTCAATCATGTAAGTTCAACTAGAAAATCTTTCCAAGCTCTAGCATTACTTTCCTTTTTTAATTGAATGACAGATGCTCAACAGCCAAGTGATAATGTGTTTAAAGTACATTGAAGAGCAGGGTTTAATTAAAACGCTCTACATGGAAGAGTACATTCTCCATCGTCTGAAACATGAAAGTGTTAATTGACTTTTTTAAATCCCCAACTTCAATATTTGACAAAGTGTTTACAGGTCCTGTTCTGCAATTTTTTTCAGATTGACCAGCACGAAAGGGAAGACTTCAATCTCACATCTGATGCAGAATTCAATGCTATCAAGTCAGTTGTCCTGGGGAAAGTGCATGGTGAGTTATAGAAGACTGCATTCAAATGATGAAGGAGAAGGCCGTTTAAGTTAAAACTTGCAAAGAAATTGTAATTTAATAAAGAGCTGAGTGGTGTTTCGCTGTATGTCTCAATCACAGAACTGGAGAGCTTGTCAGGATCCCTCCTGTCTGAAGCTTTTACATAAAGCTTGTTAAAATGACATAAAGATTGTTAAAATGACATAAAGCGTATATGATGACAAAGAGTTTCTTTAGCTCAAATAGAGATGGAATTGCTCACATACGTAAGTAATCATTATGTATTATTATGTGAAATTTTTTTGTTCACTCAGGGAATCGCAGTTCGACATGACGTGTTATCATATCGTGTCTGTTTACCTAAAATCGGAATAATATTGTCTTTATGTATAATTATTGTCTATCCCCTGCTTCGGAAATAGGCCACTTTATGAAGGCCTAATGCTAATGTCTTTGCTTTAAAATAGGAGGCCTGCTTTCAATAGTAATGAGGATGTCACGCCTTGACGTATGGAACTCTTGTTGGTTTAGTCAGGGTGTGGGAATCTATGTGATGTTTTCTATGTGTAGGATCTGGATTCGTATTTCTATGTTTGGCCGGGTGTAATTCCCAATCAGAGACAGCTGTCGCTCATTTTCTCTGATTGGGGATCATACTTAAGTAGCCTGTTTGCTTACCTTAGTTGTGGGATCTTGTTCCTGTGTTTGGCTTGTATTGTGTAGAGCCTTGGACTTCACGTTACGTTGGTTTGTTGTTGTGTTTATTATTAAATAAACATGTTCACATCGCACGCTGCACCTTGGTCTGACCCGTCTCCCAACGATCGTGACAGAGGAATGATTAATGGAAACAGACACATAAAATACAGTGGTTATAGTCGTACATTCTGATACAATGTAATGAACAAAACATTCCATGTCAAGTCGAAATAATACTCCCTATACTATGCCTGTATACAAAAATACACAATGCACTACTACACATTTCAGATGCAAATCCATTTCTATCCATATGTAACAATGTCAAGAATGTCACAATAACAAAGTTAAACAGTAGCTACTGTGACATTGTAATTGACTTATTCATGATCTTTCAAAAAACTCCATTAGTCTGACGTCAGAATAATCCAGTAGCTGTAGGGTATAATGACTTGTGGGGCTAAGGGGTCTGCCCTCTGGCTCTCCGGTCATGCGGCACATACACACACATACGCACAAGCACATGCACACACTGCTCTGTGGTCTGTGGTAGTGGAGTGTATCTCAGATGCCATGGACCATGTTAACACGTGACCGGGTCCTCCCCATACGCTCTTTTCTAACCCCTCCGCCCTGCCACAGTCTGTGTGTCATATCAGGATCAAAGAGCTAGCATGAAAGTGGATTCGGTGTCATTCCCAGCGACGCCTGTCATCGATCACGCTAACAAATTGACCTGTAATGAATCAGAGAGAGAGAGAGAGAGAGAGAGAGGAGAGAGAGAGAAGAGAGAGAGAGAGATATGAGAGAGAGAGAGAGAGATAGAGAGAGAGGAGAGAGGATAGAGATCGCATAGCTCATGATAGAGAGAGATCGCGGCAGAGAGCAGAGATCGATATCTGAGAGACTCTTCTAGCGGATCTCTCTCTCTCGAGCGCTAGATCCTCGCTAGTAGTCTCGATCTCTATCTCTCTCTCTCTAGCGATCTGAGCGATCTCTCTAGACCGGAGGAGAGATCGACTGTCGGCAATATGCTCCTCTGTTGAGAAGGGAAATTAACCGTCAGGATACAGTAGCTTGTGTGATGCAGTACAATGTCATCGGCTCACTGACTTCCATCCCATCCCTTTTAACAGTTCTGATAACCATGCAAATTCATACCATTAAATTCATAGTTCATTCTGATGCCCTGGCAAATATAGGGTTTTACTGGATATTAGCCAGTCAAATGGTAGCAGTGTTACTGGGGTCTCTCATTATCTACTTTATGTTTATTGTGAGCTGTCGATGAAGTAGATGCTCTGCCTAGTCAACATACACTGAGAGAGCAGTGAATCCCACTTCTTTTACCCTACACTGATCACTATACTGCACATGTCAAACACGGAGGGCCGAGTATCTACGGGTTTTCACTCCTCCCTTGTACTTGATTGATGAATTAAGGTCACTGATTAGTAAGGAACTCCACTCACCTGGTTGTCTAGGTCTTAATTGAAAGGGAAAAAACTAAATCCAGACACCAGGTCGTCCATGGATTGAGTTTGACATCCCTGTGTAGTGGATCGATGTTAATCTATACCTTTATCCATTATAGTATGTAATGATCTGACTTACCTCTGATCTCACTGACTGTTTCTGCATTTTTGGTCACGTGTGTGTGCATTTGTGTGTGTGTGTGTGTGTGTGCATGTTTGTGTTTAGAGTCTGGTGAGCTGGATCCAGAGATCGCCAGGCTGAACTCCCAGGGTTTCAGTGGCTGTCTGTCGGTGGTCCAGTTTTTCCCCCCTCCCCCTTGAACCCGTTTTTTTCCCAAACAAAACCCCCTGTATGCCCCCCTCACCCATTTTTTCCCCTTTCCCCCAAAAAAACCCCCCCCCCTTTAAAAAAACCCCCCCGGGGTAATAAGGGTGAAGTTTTATCTAGGGGGGGGGTTTTCTTTTTGGGGGGGGCTCTCCCCTCCCTTTTCTCTCTCTCTCTCTCCTCCTCTCTCTCTCTCGCTCTCCTTTCCCCCTTCCCTCTTCTTTTTCCCCCTTTTTTTTTTTAAATTTGGGTTCCCTTTTTTCCCTTTTTTTCCCTTTTCCCCCTTTTTTTTCCTTTTTTCCTTCTTTCCTTTTTTTTTTTTTTTTTCCCGCTCTTTTTCCCTCTGGTGTTTTTCCCCTCTTCCCCTTTTTCTTCTCTCTTCCTTCTCTTCCTTTCTTTTCTTTCTTTCTTTTTCCTTTCTCTTCTTCTCTTTTTTTTCTTCTTTTTTTCTTTTTCTTTTTTTCCCCCTTTTTCTCCCTGTCTCTCTCTCTCTCTGTCTCTCTCTCTCTCTCTTTCTGTCTTTCCGTCTCTCTCTCTCTCGGTCTCTCTCTGCTGTAGATCATTCAGGTACAGTAGGTACTGGTGAGCCTATAGTCAGTGCAATCAAGAGTGACTCTGCATTGATTGGAGGTAACATGAATATGTTTCTCATGTATTTCACTGTTATAATGTCATAATAAACCATAGTTATATTGTAGTCAGTAAAACAACATGTCAGATATGAAATTATCCTGGTCAAAATAGACAAAGATAATGATACAGGTCTCACTTGCAAAATATATCTTTTTCTGAATGAGACAAACCTGGATAAATAAAGGTTCAACATATGATAGTTAAACATATGAAAGTTCAACATATGATATGTCATGTTTGCAGCATCACATCACAAAGCTTTGAAGTAGTGGTTGATTAGGTTCCAATTGGTTCAGTTGCTGGAATGTAGAAAGTAGTTCAAAGTCGTCCTTATACAGGCTGACTCAGTGCCAAATGCACAAAGGACACCAAAACTAATTAAACGTTTAAAGAAATGATTTGCTGATTAAGGAACTTTTTACAGCTATCTTCAAGTACTTTTTCATTTTAGAACCACTGTAATTTACCATTAAATTAAGTCTGGGTGTGTTCTGGCTTCCCAATAAGATGTATCCTTTTCTCTTAATAATGAAATGCACCATACATAGCATTGCAGTGTACAAGAACTGTAGCTAAGGTTTATGAAATGAATTGCCTGCGACATTTGTGAGAATTGAACTGGAGTTCTTTGTGCTGTGCCTTGTACAGAGATGGTTTTACAGCTATCAGAAGCTTGTGTAATACCTTTTAGAGTTTAGATCAGCAACAGAAATCAGGCAGGCTGGGTAATAGCGACGAAATACCCACGGGAGAAATTGGCATATTATTTATCTTAAGGCTCCCACGACGTAGACAAATGTCGCAGAACTAAACTTGAGAATGCTGAGAAGGGAGTTCATGTAGTCTGAAAGCCACTGTGCTTTCTCTATTTTTGCTTCTGAAAATGGAAACCCATAGGGATGTCACAATGTGAAATGATGTTAATTGGTTTGTAGTTAGAATTCTTCAGTGTTTTCCGACTTCAAAAAGCGTTTCTTTGTCAAAGTGCATTTTTACACCTTTAAATTGGACTTGAGCTTTCTGTGTTTTCAAATGAGTGCTGTTTTGTTGTTTCCTAACTCAATGTTTTGTACTCCATTGCAGGTGTGATTGCCGTGGTGATATTTGTGATTCTGTCTGCGTTGGCAATAATGGCAAGGTTCCTGTATCGACGGAAAGAGACGTTCCACACCCAAGAACCCCAGGGAATCAAACCTGAGGCAGACAGCCCTGAATACCCTTTCCACAGCGAGCCCACCTCACAGAACATACTAAGTGAAAACCAAAAGGAGTATTTCATATAGGTCCAACTATCCACCTCTCGACCTTCTCAATGAATCTGATTAAGGAAGGACATGCCTTGCCAAGCCCTAGAAAAGTTAATAACATTCACAGTGCATTACACATAAAGTACATGCAGTAAAAAACCATCAGCAACTGTCAAAACAAGATGGCTGACCAAGATCTGAAGAAGACAAAAAATTATCTATAAATGCATCCATGTAATGTTTTCAACAAGTTACCACAGCCACAAAACCAGAATTGGCTATATCGTAAAAAATTATGAAAACTGAAGTTTGCTTTTTTGTCTTAATTGGAGGGTTGTGGTTAAGGTTAGGGTTAGGTTTAAAATCATATTTTTGAGAAATTGTAGCAATAGGCAGGGTTTATGACTTTGTGGCTGTAGTAACTAGTGACGACCACGTATTGTTTACTGTTTTTTGTACATACTGTTTGTACTGGTAATATGACACAAGTGTAGATGATAGACATTGAAAGGTGTTGATACTGTCATTCATGGGAGTGTAAATATTCTAAAAAAATGTAAATGTTGAATTAATTCATGTCTTTATAACAATCGCTGTCTAATATTCCTCTCCGATGATACAGTACTGAAAATATTATAATAATGACTGGAGGGATTTATACTGTATGTACCTGCAGTACGGTTATGAAGATGATGTAATAAATGTTTGGGCTATTGAGGTGAAAGTATTTTGGTATTTTCAATTTTAATTTTTAATTGTTTTATTAGTATTTTTTTGGGGGGGGGGGTACATCAGCTTTAATATTGAAGATCGATTGTAGCTTCCATCAATGTAATTGTCTGCATCACTTACAATCCCCCATATATTATTTTGCAAATATATTTTTATTTTTTATTTTTTATTTCACCTTTATTTAACCAGGTAAGCCAGTTGAGAACAAGTTCTCATTTACAACTGCGACCTGGCCAAGATAAAGCAAAGCAGTGCGATAAAAACAACAACACAGAGTTACATATGGGGTAAAACAAAACAAAGTCAAAAATACAACAGAAAATATATATACAGAGTGTGCAAATGTAGCAAGTTATGGAGGTAAGGCAATGAATAGGCCATAGTGCAAAATAATTACAATTAGTATTAACACTGGAATGCTAGATGTGCAAGAGATTATGTGCAAATAGAGATACTGGGGTGCAAAATAGCAAAATAAATAACAATATAGGGATGAGGTAGTTGGGTGGGCTAATTTCAGATGGGCTGTGTACAGGTGCAGTGATCGGTAAGGTGCTCTGACAACTGATGCTTAAAGTTAGTAAGGGAGATAAGAGTCTCCAGCATCAGAGATTTTTGCAATTCGTTCCAGTCATTGGCAGCAGAGAACTGGAAGGAATGGCGGCCAAAGGAGGTGTTGGCTTTGGGGATGACCAGTGAGATATACCTGCTGGAGCGCAGACTACGGGTGGGTGCTGCTATGGTGACCAATGAGCTAAGATAAGGCGGGGATTTGCCTAGCAGTGATTTATAGATGGCTTGGAGCCAGTGGGTTTGACGACGAACATGTAGTGAGGACCAGCCAACAAGAGCGTACAGGTCACAGTGGTGGGTAGTGTATGGGGCTTTGGAGACAAAACAGATGGCACTGTGATAGACTACATCCAATTTGCTGAGTAGAGTGTTGGAGGCTATTTTGTAAATTACATCGCCGAAGTCAAGGATCGGTAGGATAGTCAGTTTTACGAGGGCATGTTTGGCAGCATGAGTGAAGGAGGCTTTGTTGCGAAATAGGAAGCCAATTCTAGATTTAACTTTGGATTGGAGATTCTTAATGTGAGTCTGGAAGGAGAGTTTACAGTCTAACCAGACACCTAGGTATTTGTAGTTGTCCACATACTCTAGGTCAGACCCGTCGAGAGTAGTGATTCTAGTCGGGTGGGCGGGTGCCAGCAGCGTTCGATTGAAGAGCATGCATTTAGTTTTACTAGTGTTTAAGAGCAGTTGGAGGCTACTGAAGGATTGTTGTATGGCATTGAAGCTCGTTTGGAGGTTTGTTAACACAGTGTCCAATGAAGGGCCAGATGTATACAAAATGGTGTCGTCTGCGTAGAGGTGGATCTGAGAGTCACCAGCAGCAAGAGCGACATCATGATATACACAGAGAAAAGAGTCGGCCCAAGAATTGAACCCTGTGGCACCCCCATAGAGACTGCCATAGGTCCAGACAACAGGCCCTCCGATTTGACACATTGAACTCTATCTGAGAAGTAGTTGGTGAACCAGGCGAGGCAGTCATTTGAGAAACCAAGGCTATTTAGTCTGCCAATAAGAATGCGGTGGTTGACAGAGTCGAAAGCCTTGGCCAGGTCGATGAAGACGGCTGCACAGTACTGTCTATTATCGATCGCAGTTATAATATCGTTTAGGACCTTGAGCGTGGCTGAAGTGCACCCATGACCAGCTCGGAAACCGGATTGCATAGCGGAGAAGGTACGGTGGGATTCGAAATGGTCGGTGATCTGTTTGTTAACTTGGCTTTCAAATACTTTCGAAAGGCAGGGCAGGATGGATATAGGTCTGTAACAGTCTGGATCTAGAGTGTCACCCCCTTTGAAGAGGGGGATGACCGCGGCAGCTTTCCAATCTCTGGGGATCTCAGACGTTACGAAAGAGAGGTTGAACAGGCTAGTAATAGGGGTTGCGACAATTTCGGCGGCTAGTTTTAGAAAGAAAGGGTCCAGATTGCCTAGCCCAGCTGATTTGTAGGGGTCCAGATTTTGCAGCTCTTTCAGAACATCAGCTGTCTGAATTTGTGTGAAGGAGAAGCGGGGGGGGCATGGGCAAGTTGCAGCGGAGGGTGCAGAGTTGGTGGCCGGGTAGTGGTAGCCAGGTGGAAAGCATGGCCAGCCGTAGCAAAATGCATGTTGAAATTCTCAATTATTGTAGATTTATCGGTGGTGATAGTGTTTCCTAGCCTCAGTGCAGTGGGCAGCTGGGAGGAAGTGCTCTTATTCTCCATGGACTTTACAGTGTCCCAAAACTTTTTGGAGTTAGTGCTACAGGATGCACATTTCTGTTTGAAGAAGTTAGCCTTTGCTTTCCTGACTGCTTGTATATATTGGTTCCTAACTTCCCTGAAAAGTTGCATATCGCGGGGGCTATTTGATGCTAATGCAGTACGCCACAGGATGTTGTTGTGCTGGTCAAGGGCAGTCAAGTCTGAGGAGAACCAGGGGCTATATCTGTTCTTAGTTCTGTATTTTTTGAATGGGGCATGTTTATTTAAGATTGAGAGGAAATTACTTTTAAAGAACAACCAGGCATCCTCTACTGACGGAATGAGATCTATATCCATCCAGGATACCTGGTCCAGGTCAATTAGGAAGGCCTGCTCGCTAAAGTGTTTTATGGAGCGTTTGACAGTGATGAGGGTTGGTCGTTTGACCGCGGACCCGTTACGGACGCAGGCAATAAGGCAGTGATCGCTGAGATCCTGGTTGAAGACAGCGGAGGTGTATTTAGAGGGTAAGTTAGTCAGGATGATATCTATGAGGGTACCCATGTTTACGGATTTAGGGTTGTACCTGGTAGGTTCGTTGATAATTTGTGTGAGATTGAGGGCATCTAGTTTGGATTGTAGGATGGCCGGGGTGTTAAGCATATCCCAATTTAGGTCACCAAGCAGTACGAACTCTGAGGATAAATGGGGGGCAATCAATTCACATATGGTGTCCAGGGCACAGCTGGGGGCTGAGGGGGGTCTGTAGCAAGCGGCAACAGTGAGAGACTTATTTCTGGAAAGGTGGATTTTTAGAAGTAGAAGCTCAAACTGTTTGGGCACAGACCTGGATAGTATGATAGAGCTCTGCAGGCTAACTCCGCCCCCTTTGGCAGTTCTATCTAGACGGAAAATGTTATAGTTGGGGATGGACATTTCAGAATCTTTGGTGGCCTTCCTAAGCCAGGATTCAGACACTGCTAGAACATCAGGGTTGGCGGAGTGTGCTAACGCAGTGAATAACTCAAATTTAGGAAGTAGACTTCTGATATTAACATGCAAGAAACCAAGGCTTTTGCGATTACAGAAGTCAACAAATGATAGCGCCTGGGGAGTAAGAGTGATACTGAGGGCTGCAGGGCCTGGGTTAGCCTCTACATCACCAGAGGAACAGAGGAGGACTAGAATAAGGATATGGCTAAAGGCTTTAAGAACTGGTCTTCTAGTGCGTTGGGTACATAGAATAAAGGGGGCAGATTTCCGGGCGTTGTAGAAAAGATTCAGGGCATTATGTACAGACAAGGATATGGAAGGATATGAGTAAAGTGGAGGTAAACCTAAGCGTTGGGTAACAATGAAAGAGATAGCATCACTGGAGGCACCGATTGAGTCGGTCTCCGCGTGTATGGGGGGTGGGACAAAGGAGCTATCTAAGGCAGGTTTAGCTGGGCTGGGGGATCTACAGTGAAATAGTACAATTAGAAATAACCGCAACAACAATAAGCAAGGCATATTGCCATGGGAGAGAGGCATAAAGCAATCACATGTGTAATTTGAGAGAGCTAAGACAACAGCTGGTAATGACGACACAGTTTGGGCTGAGGCTAAACATAAACAGCATGCGGTACCGTAAAAAGGAACAGTCCAGCAGGCATCAGCTGTGTAGCTGAGTTATCATAAGGTCCGGTGAACAGCAATAGGATAGTTCGGAGGTAGTTCGGGGGCTGCTAAAGCACTAGCGAGCAAGAGGCCATGGCTAGCGTGTGCTAGCGGGCCTGGGCTAGCAGATGGATTCTTCGTGGTCGACGTCGTAACGGGAAGCCTGTTGTAACCACATCAGATGATTTCGTCGGCAGACCAGTCGTGTAGGATTGGCGGGGCTCCGTGTCAACACTAGGTAGATAGCCGGGAGATGGGCCTAGCTCAGGATGATTAGCCAAACCACAACGTCCATTTTGTTGCAGCTAGCTGGTAGCGATGAATCCGGAGTTAAAGGTCCAGTGATTCAGTGATTCCGGCAGAAAAACTGATATGTTCTGGG